GAAATACCAGGGTATTACGAATATAGCAGCTTACTTCTGTTATGTTTCCTTTTGTGAGTGTAAAGAACCAGATACCCTTTTACTGAAAACGAGGCATTCCATCTTAGTCCGTAAGGGTGACAACTCATCTCCGTTTTGATTCTCAATCGAGGAATAATTTAGTATGTTTATGAGCCACGGCATCCACTTGAAATCAGGAGGACTGTGCACGTTTGCCACCCTTATTCTATAAAAAAAAAAGTTTAAACGAAAAATCGATCAAGTTTTGAGACTACAAAATATTGTAAACTATTATTAATTAAGAATTCATGGATTAGTCAGCTGAAGTGGCAATGGGCTGGCCATATAGTACGAAGAACCGACAACCGAAGGGGGAAAAGATTTTCAAGTGGCAGCCTCGTACTGGTAGGCGAAGTGTAGAGCGACCCCCCACTAGATGGAGTGACGACCAGGTAAGACATGCAGGAAGTCGATGGATGCAGGTGGCTCAGGACCATTAAAGTAATATGTACTTACGTACTAGAACAGCTATCACAAACAAAAAATGTGCGCTAAATAGTGTTTGCGCGGTTGTTTTTTTATCATAGATTAAATATAGTAAGAATGACCCGTAGGTAATAGTAAATTGTATTGTTAAATAGGTAAATTATATCGAGAACAATATTTAAACTTTGTCATTTATTTTGTATATTATATTTGCTAGTTTAATATAACATGATATTATATCACAATTACATTTCAATGATATTAATATCTCAATATTTTAAAAGGTATCTAAGTCAAATATAAATATCATACTAAATGTATATTTAACAAAACTTATTAACATAACATTTAAATTACAAATATATTTATTTAAATTAGAATAAAAGTCGTTCATAAGTCGTGCTGGGCACGCGAGAGTTAAAAATGGATGAATTTATACCACTTTGACTTTGATGTGGAAACCTAAAAATAAAATAGAATAATAAGCAGATTTAAACATGAAAAATTTTGCCAAATTATAATAACTTATATATGTTTCTACAAAAAAAAAGTGTATAATAATATATTCGTCCTATACTTAAGTACCCACAGAAATGTCGCATCTGAACATATTAATTTCATAATCTATATTCCCTGACACGAAATGGCGTCTTAGGAATAATTTGTTTTATTATTAATACATAATACTTTTTTATTGATTAAGTATCTTATTAACTGATGAAAAGTAATTCCTTGGTTTTTACTGACATTTCTTGAATTATTTGTGCAATATATTAGTACACACGACGGCATATTTTAATCAAGAGATTTTTTTTTAAATCAACACAACACGTGAAAACTCTATAAGCGCCTAGCGAGTGAATGATTAAAGTGCGGTGTATGCACCGCAGTTGAGTGGAACAGAGTAGCTGAATGCAGTGTCGCCTCTAGTACGTAGTACATAATAGCTCAATGCTCAGGACCGCACTTTCTTTCATTCCTGTGTTGCATTCCTTGGGGGAGGCCTATGTTCAGCAGTGGACTTGTGAAGGGATGTAATGATACTGATGAATTAATAATTGTTGCTAATAATGAATGCAATAATGTCCTCCAGACCGAATTTCGGCCACGGCGGCCTGCCTCAACGGAGGCGACAGGATTATAGTGCCAAAGTGTATGCGCAAGCACAGGTGCACTCTATTCCCTCACTCTCATAATCCGATGGGACGGTAAACCAACACGACGGGGAGAGAGATCAGGCGCAGGACCAATGGCTTTATGTGCTTTCCGAGGCACGGGGGTGAGACACCGCCAACTTCCTGACTCCGGGCAGCTACTGAGAATTTCTTGACAGAAAAACTCAGCGGGATTCGAACCCAGGACCTCATGATCAGCAGTCGCACTACTACAATCACTAGACCAACGAGGCAGTCAATGTAACTATTAAAAATTAACTATTACAATGTGTCGTTTTATACCATGAAAAATTTAATGTTATAGGGCTACAACAAAGCGAAATGAAACCATGTTATTACTATAAAAATATTATATTATCGTACATTACGTAGCGTACAAACCACACCACAACACAAAAAGTCTGGTGCGTTTATAAATGCTGCGCAATAATAATTGCTAACTAGCAAGGCTACACAGTCATTGTTATATGTACATTATGTACAATTTTATAACGATTAAGCATTTTCTATAAAAAGCATTGTTATCATTACCATTCAGGAGGTAACCAGATATCACAGAGGTAACCATGTTTACAACAATCATTTCTTATGGCTACAGCAACTGTAAAGGAACTCTATTGGAGGGGAGGCCCAAGTTAAAGAGATTGCGGCGTGCAGCTTTTAGGCCTTTGGGGCGCGTGCAATAAAACAAACTCGAGCGACTGCCGCTCAGGACGTGTAATATAAGATTGTGTTTTGTCATGCACCAAAACACCCCACCCCGTTACACGCTTCAAAAGAGCGAGCACTCATTTATTACACTAAGCTAACATTCCAGCCAATATAAATCAAAAAACAAAAACGAAAATTAAATAGTCGATGTTATAAAAATTATAATAATATGTTTAAAAAATATTTTGATTAATACTTCGCTGTGTACCTTTTAATGAAATGTTTGAAACCATTTTTAAGACCGGTTCCTCCGGACTTTGGGCTTTAAAGATCTTTTTATCATTTGATGCAAAAATACTCACCAATAAATGCTTGTTTTATATTAAAATATTAAATAAGATATATTATTTTATAAAAATATGTTCAAACATTCCTCTTGATCAACAACAACAATGAAAATATCATTACAAAACAAAACTTATTAACAAACACTAGAGATACATCTATTATTTGGAAGGCACCAACACAATAAGCATGGGTTATAATACAAATTTGTAATAAGTTATTATGATAATAACAACGCTGAGTTCGGCACATAATGTGGGTACCTTCTGCATAAATTCGTACTATATATGTAAAATAAAAATTGTTATAATTTTCATACCCTTAGCTTCTTATTTTAGGAAAGGCCGTTTCGCGCAGAAACAAAATTACATTACATAATATATCTGAAGACCAAAATTATATTATAAATATAGTTACTAAAATACCTATAAATATTAGGTTAACTTTTAAAATGCACGAATAAATACCGATACTTATTAGAGGCTTATACCATAATCCTGTAATACGCTCTATAAAATGCGTTAAGCAGGAAAACGCAGTAGTAATACCATGCATGCACGAACGCACGAGCTTCCGCGCACCAGAGTCCATCTAAAACTACCACCCAAATTTAAAAGACAAGAATGTTCCCATAATTATTTTTAGTACAATAGTGGGTACAAAACGGAAATTAAAACAACTTATTGCCATGTTACATAATTGCAGTTAAATGTATTTTTTTAATTTGTTGGGAATTGGGGTGTGTGTTTTTTTTTTTTTTTGGTTTGTATTTTGTGGTGTGGTTGTTTTTTTTTTTTGGGTTTTTTTATATTGTGTTTTTTTTTCGCAATGTTTATATTTCGATATAAAGCTTTAATTCAAAACAAGTTTTGAAACTTGTTTATAATTTGCTTTTAAATTATTAAATGTCGGGATGTATTAAAATTCTAAAATAACACTATCCAAATAATCACTTTGTGGATGAGACACCCTTTTTATTTTATTTTATAAAATAAGGATGTTATTAAAAAAGGACACAGTCTGCCTAAGAGTAAGTGACGCATAAGCATCTAAATCAATCTTGGATTAAGAATCTAAATGTAGATGCGACCACTGAGGACTAAGACGAAATGTTTCGTTACCAGTAAAAAGGGCCCCAGGATACTACGCTCACCATATGAATGACACGCAGTAACATAATAACATTAAGCTGCTATTTTATACTGGTATTCTGTGAGAGCGTGGTCCTACCGCGATCGATCCGACCCAATCGTGTTGAAGCAATAAAATAGCTATAGCGTGTCTCTATCATCGGTGCATCACAAACGTATGTTGTCACTCTAAATCCTATACGAGGGCTATAAATAAAAAAGGAGTAATTGTACAAAAAATAAATATATATATATATATATATATATATATATATGTATATATAAATTCCGGCCACTACATCGAAAGCACTGCGCATAAATAAACAAACTTTATTTTATAAATACTTAAAATTCTTTTCGTTGTTTTAATTGAACTTATATTTCAAGAACTAATTTCTTATTAGAATCATAACATGCAATATATAACGTACTATATATAATTACTACGGTGCGATAAATATTCATCTATCAATATATCACCATATGGTTATTCGTTTGTACTTTTACTACAAATTTTGTTAGGAGGCAATCACTAACCAAATATTTTAAACTACATTTATATATATATATATATATATATATATATATATATATATATATATATATATATATATATATATATATATATATATACATATATAAAATACTTAATTGATTTTATATGCTTCTATATATAAATGCGCATGTTGCAGGTGTAGTGGACGGAAAATTTGTATTCAAGACCAGATATCGCTGAGCGTTTTATTGTCATTCAAAACCTTAATTTCCATCATAATTTTAGCAACGTAAGGTTTTCCTTTAAGTATTATAAGCCAGTTCTTAAATGGAAAATACATAATCCCTAACTTTGTGTAAATGCCTTAAAACACGATCCATGAAAATTTTGTCACATTCTAAACACTAATGCGTGAATGTTTTCTATTCAGTACACACACGTATTCCTCAAATAATCTATTGAATATGTCTTTAATATTACATAGATACAGTCAATTTTCTAGAACTTTCGGTTTTGCTTATTTGACATACGATGTGAGTATAACATAACATACAAATATAGTCCTCAATCGAGAACATTTGATACAAAATTATATTTTGCATTCAACATAAACGCGAATAAGAAAATTATCAAAATAATCACAATGTAAGACATGGACTTAAATTATCGAATCTTATTCGCTTGGACAATTTGATTGGATAAAAAAAAGTAAATTTATCAAACAAGTGAGAAGCCTTGTGTTTGTTGTATGGCTTGAAGGAGGTAATATTTAAGTCGCTCTTTAGTCTTATATCGCGGTAGATCGAGGAGATTGAAACATGTGTGGGCCACAGGGAAGAATCTTTCATCTGCTACCGGCTGTATTCGAATCTGAAAACAAAAATATAACACCGTAATTATCGAACACGAAGTTTCTATTTAATCGATATAAATGCCATTTGGTGACAGAAATTTCCGGTGAAGTAATAATATAATCTACTCTGGATCACACAGTGGTGAACTACACAAAAATTATGGATACGCATACGCAACTTATTTGCTAAATAACATACAAGTACATGTTTTTTTTTTAATAATTTCGTTTACATCTCTGCAAGGCGTCATTTAATGTCATTGTATTTTATGACAAAGCTCAATAAACTGAAAAATGTTGTAAATGTGCAAAATTATGCACGTATGTGAATTACCACCATAAGACCCATATCCAAAGTAAGACCGTGTCGGGTTATTTATCAATATATAAATAGTTAAAACATTTGTTATAACATCTATAACAGTAACTAAAATGGATGGAAATATAGTGGACATCATTTTTTTTTTTCTTTTTTTATTAAAACGTTACCCGTACACTAGGATTTTCTCCTATATCGTGGGAGCAGTTTACAAACATAAATTGCATAAGGACAAACATCCAGACCCGGAACAATTATTTGTAGGCCATACAAATACTTGTTCCGTGCGGGATTCGAACCCGCGGCCCCCAGCGCAGCCACTCATTGCTAAGCCACTGCGCCACGGAGTTGTCATTCATTACAATTTGCAGCCTATCAAAAGTCCACGGCTGAACAAGCCTCCCTAATAGATTGGCTCACAGTGAGAATATTTACTGTTGTTGCCACACTTGACAGACTGATAGACAACCGCTTTTTCGCTCTTTTCTAATTATTTTGAGTTGCAATCAGAAGATACTGCTATTACCTTCTATTTTATTTTCGCCTGGGGACTCTTACAGCTTACTGTAAGACAGTACTCACTACACTAATGCTAAATTTTGAGTTGTAAACAGAAGATACTGTTGCCCACCTCCTATTTTATTTTCGCCTGGGGACTCTTACAGCTTACTATAAGACAGTACTCACTAGTCACTACACTAATGCTAAATATAATGAATTAAGTTACCTTGATATCCTTCATACCCTGTATGGGAACGCGATCACTACCAGTGAGGAAGAGAAGGAATTTTTTTTTATCCTCAAGGGAAAGCTCATGGAAAACTTCCCAGAACCACCTGCAATGAAAGATTAAAAAGTAAAATTATATTTCTATGAAATATACACGTTAAAACTTATAAGTAAATTTTCAGTCCAAAATAACCTATTGTATAAAACACTGGTAACCATTACAGCTTAGAAGAAAAGCGCCCCTCTTAAATTTAATAATACGCATGTATCACTATTTTCCTCGCCAGGACAATTGAAGTTATCTGCAATTTTAAGTGCTCATTTACAACGTAAGGCGGTGAAAAAATACATCGCGAGAGAACCTGCACGTATAAGAATTAAATAAATTTCGAAGAGAAGCGAAGTCTGCCAATTTGAAAAACCCACTCAGATGAGAGAATGTTTCAAGCAATGGAACGTAGAATATAGGATGTTACTTTACTAGATTCCCTCCCATCCCTGCCTTTCTGCCCCTCCCTCTCTTTTTCCATGATTTCTAATAGCCTCTTGCACTCCTCTTCAGATCTATGACAAGTCTTCACCTTTCTTTCCGGTGTAGGACTACGGTGCAACTTTATTATGGCTGCAGCACAAATACGTTGAATCGACCGGCGAAGGGCCACACTCTCACAGAATACCAGCATAGTGGCAGTTTAACGCTGCATGTTTCGTACGGTGAATGTAGACAACCGGGGACCATTTTTACTGGAAACGAGGTTCTTTGCAAAAACACATGCGTTTCTACCCCTAAGGACCATCTTGGTACTCAGGGGTAGACAGATGTAGACGTCTAAGGGCTACAGCATTCACTTACCATCAGGATGACTCGTTAGTAGCCCTTATCTCTATATATAAAAATCAATTGGTGTCTGATAGTCTCGCTAAAACTTGAAAATATCTCGACTGACTTTGATGAAAGTTTTTGTAAATCCCTGAAAAGTTTAAATTCACGATGGACCCGGTAGGTGGCGCTGTTGTCGAGATCTAGCAATCCCCGTGCGAAATCGAGGAGGATAGCTAGTTCTATATAAAAAGCCAAAAATTCTAATCTGTCCAATATTACAAATCTTAATTTGTAATGATCTTTATCCAGTAAAGGAAATAATTTAATATTACCATATTAGCGCTTAAGAACTATACGAGGGTAACACTGAAAGTTCTTAGAAAATCAAAAACTGAACAAACTAGTAAATTTTTAGTTTTATTATATCTTTTCAAAACAGTGTCCAGTGTCCAACATCAATACATCGCTGCATTCGATGGAACCACTGAGAAAAGCACTTTGCCCACTCGTCCTTAGGGGTCTCCTCGACGGCATTTTGAAACGCAGCCACTGCTTTCTCGGCGTCCATAAAACGTTTTCCTCAGTTTTTCTTTTATTTTCGGAAATAAATAAAAATCGCAAGGTGAGATGTCGGGGCTACAGGTGAATTCCACGTCTGGCGTCGCCGTAAGTAAGTAGTCGATTGTTTGCTTGGCGGTGTGCGACGAGCGTTGTTGTGGTGAGGAGGATCTTACTGCGAGGTCGTTCCTCTCGAACTTTTTCCAAGACGAGTTGCAAACAATTGTTAGTATACCACTCTGCAGTAACCGTTTTTCGATCCTCTAAAATAACTGTTGAGTAATGACCTGTCCTTCCGAAGAACGAGGCCACCATCTTTTTTCCCATACTTCGACCTCTCTTCACTTTAGTTGGCAACATCTCGGAAGGAAACACCCAGACAGCAGAATGTCTGTTAGTTTCAGGATCATAACAATAAATCCTGTTTTCGTCACCCGTAAGTATGTCTATACTGCGGCCAACGAGAAGCCATACTAAATGTAAACAATGCAATGCAAGGTTATTAAGAATAGCAGGTGTGCGTAACTTTTTGATAGATAAGTAGACAATATAATTTTAAATGACTGCCTCGTTGGTCTAGTGGTTGTAGTAGTGCGACTGCTGATCATGAGGTCCTGGTTTCGAATCCCGGGTCGGGCCAATAAATTAATTATTGAGTTTTTCCGTCAAGAAATTCTCAGTAATTGCCCGGAGTCAGGAAGTTGGCGGTATGTCACCCCCGTGCCTCGAAAAGCACGTAAAGCCGTTTGTCCTGCGCCTGATCTCCCTCCGGTCGTGTCGGTTTACCGTCCTATCGGATTATGAGAGTGAGGGAATAGAGAGTGCACCTGTGCTTGCGCATACACTTGGGCACTATAATCCTGTCCTGCGCCGATGGCTAGCCTCCGTTGAGGCAGGCCGCCGTGGCCGAAATTCGGTCTGGGAGGACATTATTATTATTATAGTTTTAAAAAATGTCTAGCAAAGCAAAAAAATTGACTTTTTATAAATTTTGTTATAATTTGTATTATTATATAATGTAGATTTAAATTAGATAAATACTTTATGCGCCATCTCTTTTCTGTATGGCTATTTATCATTTAACCATATTTCTTTCATCCTATACCTTTAAACGATCAATTCTTGTATATATATATATATATATATATATATATATATTTTTATTTATATATATAATATATTATTTTTTTTTTTTTATATATTATATACATATATATATACATATATATATACATATATTATATATCGGGATCTCGGAAACGGCTCCAACGATTTTCATAAAATTTTGTGTGCAGGGAGATTCGGGGGCAATAAATCGATCTAGCTAGGATTTATTTTTAGAAAATGTCTTTTTGTCCGTGTTTTTAGGCAATGAAAAACTGCTACAATATCGTTAGAATAAGAAGGTAAATTTTGACAGTCTATTACAAATAGCTTAATTGGTATATTGGGCGGTCACAAAATCTTAATACCACGGTTCGAGTCTAGGCCGACCGACCGACTTTTTTTAATTTTTTTTTCAAGTTCCTTTCTTTTTTGAGAAAATTTACTTTCTCGAGCCCTTTTTTTAATATTTTTTAAAAACACGAAAATTTAAATTAAACTAATTGCACTCATGATTTTTTATTCAAATAACCAGTTCAGCTTTTTCTATTATGTCGCTAAGATCAAAAAATATTATTCGTATTTCATCAGTATGTAATTTGTATCTGAATATAATTTCCAAAACACACGAATTAAAAAAAACCAAGCGAAAAATACCGAGAAAAGCTCGGTCAACCGGGTACTTTACAATAAAACTTGACACATAAAATTAAAAAATTTATTAAAATGATATACATAGTACATACTTTACTTACATGCATCTTTAATAAATTAAGAAAACACATACATATATATCCTATTCCTATACATACCTTTCGTATGAATAGGAATAGGATGTTGATGTACGGACGTTTCTTTTTCGACGCAGTAAAATCTTTTGATTTATCTCTCGACATACTTGGTTGTAGCTCCATCATTAACCACTCTTAATAAAAAACAATTATCAACAAAACAAAACAACAATTACTAAAATGGCCTCCGGAATATTGGCGAACCTGTCTTGACCCTGACATGTTTTTGCCGGGAAAACTAGAGATTACGACAAATACACAAGATGGAAAGATATAGATAATGGATTGTCAACTCCACAGTCGCTTTTAAGGTAAATGACCTTTCGTATCGCTGCTTGTTGGCCGTACTATAACACAGCATTTGAGTCACCTCCGTTAAATATTTGAACCATTTCACGATACCAATTAACACGCCGGAGTTTTTGGGCCTCTGTCAAATTATGAGGTATCCACCGGGCACAAAGCTTCCTGACCGCTAAATGTTCATGGAGGATTTTGTACACTTGATTCATACTGATGCCTAAGCTTGTCCGAATCAGCGGATAAGTGACTCTTTTGTCATTCTCTATCATACGCCCCACAACACTCATGTTATCTTCAGCCGTCGCCGTAGAAGGCCGTCCCCTCACGCAGATCATCGGTGAGATTAGTTGACCACGTTTAACCTCTCAACCCCCTAGCGGTCTCATGAGGTCGCACCCACCCACAGCAGTTTAACCCATAAAAACTTATATATAGAGACTACTTTTCTATGAAGAAGTTTGGCATAATATAATCAATATGAAATACTCTATCCTCTAGTGCAATAAAAAAACTATTATCCTATGAATATTTATTTATAATCTACGTTTATTTTGTACGCCATTTTCGCGTGAATGTTATTGTGTTGATTTTTGGTTCTTTCTAGTGTTTTATTAGCGTTTTATTATAAAATTGTATTGAAAGTTTTTGTGTCAATATAATTTAACTTTTTACGTAAATAATTTTGAGTAATATATATTAAAAAATTGTGATATTCACGCTGCCGTCATTTGCTTGGTTTTTTTTTTGTTAACAAAATACAATAAAATCTTTTTGTAATGAAGTAAAACCTGACTTTTGTTTAGACCACAAGATTTTTCTAAGATTTCTTCTTTTATATGAAGAACTTCTTCATATAAAAGTAGTCTCTAAATATAAGTTTTAATGGTTTTAAGTGCTGTGGGTGGATGCGGTCGCCTGCAATCGCTCGGGATTTGACGGGTGCATGCGACTGCATGGGATTTTTATGGCGCTTGAAGGATTAAACTCATTAAACCAGTAGTAAACAGTGGCAAGAGATGCGGCTTCATCGTGAAAGGCCAATCGAAGTCTATCATAACCTTCTTGTTAACTTAACTGACATCGAGTCATAAAAAATCACTGCACGAAAATTTTTACGTGACACGTGACACAGACAATTTTCAATTTTCAAAAATCGTAAACAAATGACTAAAAAATACATAAGTACACAATAATATTGGCAGAATTTCACTTTCAAAATTCGAACTTATTTTTTTAATTATATCGTTTATAAGTGGCCAGTTCTTTCAGTGTAGCCCTCGTAATTTTCCTTTCATTTATTAAAAGAAGTTCGCACGTGCGTGAGATACTGCAAAACATACCTGATTTGTTGATCAGTAGCGGAGTAACCATTTTTATATTCGCAATTGTTTTCGAACAGGTCCCAGTCGTATTCTTCGTTTCCAATAACTACCGACATCAATTCGTGAGATCTAAACAATTTGATAATTCTACCACCGCAAACCTGAAAAAAATGTAAAAGTTCTAATCTGCCTAGATGTTCTGTACGCTTAGATTTTACAGTACGGCGCAAAATTTAAGACAGACCCGCTAAAACAAAATAATGATACCGGCAGAAGCGTCTAATCTGGCCACAATATCAATGGCCCCAAAACTATAGGCAGTTCTTTGCGAAAAATATAATAATGGAGGAGATGAATACGTAATAATATATCGAATAACAACACGTGGCTGGCATTCATTACAGCCTATTAAAAGTCTAATAGTCTTTTTTAATTAATATTCGAAAGGAATTACATAAACAGAATCATATCATAATACTTAAAAGCACCCTCACGGATTAGACAGGGTTTTTTTTACATATACATAGGGGGATTAACATTATACATTGTATATGTCTCACAGAATATCATCGTGAACAGGAGAATAATGCTTCTGTGTTTCTTATTGCTGTGTACGGATATGGAGACCCTTAGCACTAGTATATAGTAGTATGAAAACATTCCATCTTACACTTAATTAGGCAACCCATCTGCATTTTGATGATAGATGCAGATTTTTATAGGCCACAGCATCCCTTTGCCATCAGGTGGACTCAAAACATAGCTCTATAAAACCTCATACTATTCATAAATTGTAGTCATAATCGAAATCTACTGAACAGTGCATTACAAAAATACATAAACATTACATTATGCTAAAGAAAAGTGAGTAAAAGATAATACCTTTTGAAAGCCTTGATTGAAAGCCTTAAACTGATTCTGTACAGATTTATTGAGCAAAAAGTCTACGTAAAGCTCAACGTACTCCTCCTTGTTCTCGTGTGTAACCGGTATATTCTCGCCGTTTTCCTTTAGCATGTGAACTTGAATTTCATCGAATACAATTGTGTTCACGGCAAAACACAGACTAAATACCTTAAATAAAACTAAAAATATTAAGTAATTCATAAAACTTTTAAGTTAGTGTATTAAGCAAGCCGAATTCCACTTTGAACTGCACATTAAAACACAGATAGGTTATATAAAAAATATAAAATAAACACTTTTTTGCCTCGACATACTCTCCACAGACTATTGACAAAAAAAAACTAAATTAACACAAGATTAAGTAGTAATTATTTGTTGACAACATATTAAAATTCTTTGGCTACAATCTCTACTCTACGCGAATGTTTGGCCATAGACTACTATGAGTTTGAATTGGCAGTAAGCAATGAATGTTTCATTTTATTTTATCACTCTTCCGTGCATGCAATATGCTTAAAAAGTGGCACAAAGTTTTCTGTTGTAGTTGCGGTGTAAGAACATTAAGATATAAGAAAACAATCCAGGAGATGGACGGCAGCTTCTATGTAATAACAACTAGAACTATAGATAATAACTAAATGTGAGTTTTTTTTTCATATCCATAACAATGACAGACCAGTTTAAAACTAGTTACTGAAAAAATATATAATTTCCCTTACCTCTTCAACATCTTCATCTGTATATTCGAGTAGACTCTTCAAACTGTTAGCCAATGTAGGATAAAGATCCGAGAGATCATCCAACATAACAGACTCTCCCAATAATTTCTTGTATAACACAAGTGGAAATGGTACATAGATGATAATAGAGTTGTATATAGCTAGGCCGTAAATTGCACCTGAAAACAGAATGTACCTCACTGTAATTTTTTTGTTTTATTTTATGCAAAGAATTTTTATATTATTTTATACAGAATAAGGCTCGGTTTACATTTTGAGAAGTGATAAGTACGAGTGAGATTGACAAACTGTCAAGTGACAACTAGTAAGTATGTGTTCACACGTACGTGGCAAGTAGATATGCAATAAGGTCATTATTATATGGAACTCCGAGCCGTATGGTATTTCTAGTACTCAAAATAAATGAGCAATTGCGACTACAAGTTCGTGAAGTACACCAGAAGTCATAAACCATTGTTATTGTTACGAGCTTAAGGTTCGTGACAATAAAACTGCCGATTGAATTACCAACACCAATTAAAATTTAAATCACACTAATAATTATTCACACTTCACACTTTAGTTCACTTTATTTCACTCCGAAAGCTTCACTCGTATTGCCAATTCAATACTGCCCCGATCGCGGCTTGCAGCGGCTTTAAATTACACCTTTTCCACCGAAACGTCCAGAATGTTCCAGCTAGTACCGGTCCCGACCGACTAATAGCGGAAAGTTCAAGCGTGGACCTTTCTAGAAAGCTTAATTCTTCCGTTCGATACTAGATGGCACTGTTGGTGTTCCAGATTGGCATTTTCTAGGAAGCCCTCCTCGCTCTGTTCCCCGACACTAGATGGCGCTAGTGCCAGGTACCAGATATCAACTTCGGCGCGCAACACTGCCTCTTCTAAGACATGCTCGTCCCGAGCATTATCGGTCCCATAATAACGCGCCAGTCGATCCACATGGACGATCTTAGGAGTACTTCTTGTGCCTTTGTGTATCCGGTAGGTTACGTCGTTGATCCTGGTCACAATCAGGTACGGGCCGTCCCATTTAGCTTGAAGCTTAGCAGATTTCCCTTTGCTGCGGACTGGATTGTGCAACCACACTAGTGAACCTTCGTCGATCCCTTTGTTGTTCATTTTGCGGTCATACCGGGTTTTCATCTTTTGAGACATTTGCTGGCCCGATTGTCTGACGTGCTCATAAATGTCATTCATTTTGTTCCGCAAGTCATTTGCATAATCGGTTATACTGCGTGGGGTATCAGGTGGTATCCCGGTGATCAGGTCTGCAGGCAGCCGTAATTCTCTTCCAAAGTTTGCGAAAGCTGGTGTCACTGCTGTATTTTCGTGAACAGCGCTTCGATACAAAAACGGTTGTGTGCTTGTCCCAATCTCGTTGCCGATTGTCTACAACTTTTGCTAGGTACCTCTCCAATGTCTGATTAAATCGTTCCACCATTCCATCAGATTGCGGGTGGTAAGAAGTCGTTCTTGTTTTGTGAGTACCCATAACTCGGCAAGTTTCCTGGAATATTTGAGACTCAAAATCCCTTCCTTGATCGCTGTGAATCTCTAAAGGAACTCCAAAACGACAGAACACTTCATGAACTAGTTTATCTGCAACTGTTGAAGCTTCTTGATTTGGAATGGCGAAGACTTCTGGCCACTTAGTGATGTAATTCATCACAACCATGAAATACTTGTTACCACTTTCACTTTCCGGAAACGGCCCCGCCACGTCAATTGCTATCCTCTCCCATGGTGCACCAATATTGTACAACTTCAATGCATCTCTACTATGAGTCTGAGGTCCCTTTACAGCCGCACAACTTGTACATTTGCGACACCAGTCCTCAAAATCGTTTCGAGAGTGGACCCAGTAAAACCGTTCTCGGGTCTTCAGAAGAGTTCGTTTAACTCCCAGATAGCCTCCTGAACAATCATTATGGTACAGCTGTAGAACATCCGGTACTTTAGCTTTAGGGACAACCATTTGCAAATGACAGCTGTCTCACCGAACATTTTCCCATTTATGGCACAGACCTCCATCCTGAAGCAGCAAGCTGTCCCATTGGGCCCAATAGCTTTTAGTGGTCGAACTCATCGCTGAGACGTCGCTCCACTTGGGCTTGGGAGCACCAGCCTTCATCCATTCCAGAATCGGCTTGATGTCCGGATCTTCCTGCTGTGCATTTTGTAAGCTGTCGATTGTCGATGTGATGTTTGATCTTAAAGTCGTATTCCTGCAGTAGTTCAATCCACCTCGCAACAACACAACTCCTTCTGGATTTTTAAACTGCAATAGCCATTTTAGTGCAGCATGTTCACTTCGTAGGTGAAATTTTCGCCCCAGAAGATATTAGCTAAAATGCTGCAACGACTTTACCACAGCTAGCAATTCGCGTCTTGTGACACAATAATTCCTTTCCGGTTTTGACAACGAATTGCTGAAGTACGTTATCTCAACGGAACGATGATCGAGAGGATCACCGTTCCGTTGAGACAACACACCGCCGAGTCCTGTATCACTTGCGTCTGTGTCAACTATAAATTCCTTGCCTGCATCAGGGTACCCCAATATAGGTGTTTTGCAAAGACGGTCCTTGAGCTCCTGGAATGCGGTATCGCAACTTTCGTCCCAGCAGAAATGTCGCTTTCCTCGGTTAGCTTGTAATAGGAGCACAAACCCAAAAATGCTCTAACCTGCATCTTGTCTTTTGGAACCGGCCGATCCTTGACAGCGGCGATTTTCTCTGGATCCGTGCGGATACCTTCTTCCGATACTACATACCCCTAAAAGTTAACTTGCCGTTTGAATAGTGAACATTTCTTCGGACTCAACTTGAGGTTGGCACTCTGAATATTCATGAGCACGCGTTCCAGGTTTTGAAGGTGTTCCTCAAACGTACGGCCTACGATAATGATGTCATCCAAGTAGACCAGACAGGCATCGCCAATTAGCCCGGTAAGTACAAGTTCCATCAACCTTTCAAACGTTGCTGGAGCATTGCACAACCCAAACGGCATTACTTTAAATTACCACAGACCCTTTCCGGTCGAGAACTCAGTTTTCTCCTTGTCTTTAGGATCAATTTCAACTTGCCAGTGGCCACTTTTTAGATCCAGCGTGCTAAACCACTTTACTCCTGTAAGCATGCCCAGCGTGTCATCAATTCTTGGCAAGGGATAGCTGTATTTCTTTGTAACGTCGTTTAGACGGCGGTAGTCAACACAGAACCGCATGCTGCCGTCCTTCTTCTTTACCAGTACCACGGGTGAACACCATGGACTAGATGAAGGTTCAATAACACCATCCTTCACCATTCCCTCAATCATGGTTTCCACTTCCTTTTCACGTGCTACCGGCAATCTTCTTGGCCGCTGACGGATAGGCAATTCTTCTCCTGTGTTTATTTTGTGTTGAACTAAGCCAGTCTTTCCTATGTCAGCATCGTTTGATGAGAATACATCGGCATACTTGAGTAACAACTTCTTCGCCTTGACCATTTCGTTCGGGGAGAGAACGCTGCGACAGTCTTCCAAAAGTGTGGTCACTCTCGTTTGTGCATCCTTGCCGGGGGTCCCACTCGATAGATATTGGCACCGACGTAACTAATCCACTTCCTCACAAGTACCAACCAGTGTGCCTTTTTCTATAATCTGTTCCTGGTCACAATGTTCAGCACACGTACTCCTGAGATGTCAGTGGTTCGAGCTACTTTCCATGGAAGGTCATTGTTTACCCTTTCCACAAGTACACAACGGTGAGCTTGCCAAGGGTTCCGAGGAAGACTAACCGGCACAATCGTTTCCGATCTCGGCGGAAGAACAATCTTCTTAATGCTGTACACGTTCCCTGGCACCTTCCATAAAAAGTTCCTCCTGTCCACATTTTAAAACACGTTGCTTAACTTTGATCTCACAACAATTATTCCTCATAAAGTCTAGGCCCAGGATGCAGTCGTGCATTATATCAGCCACGATGACATTATGCAGGTAGTAGTTGCCTAGCTTCATCTCCATCCTTCTAGGAGTAAGAGGTAGCTGTTACCAAATTAATGCGTTCTCGGTTGTATGCGGAGTCTCCAAGGAACTGACTTATAACTTTGGAACTAACAACCGTACGAGAGGCTCCAGTGTCTATGGTCAGTTTACACGGCATTCCGTTGACCTCGCCCTTGATGATTAGACTGTTCCCATCATGGGTTTGTGAGATCGAGATACTTGGGGCTCTTTTAACATCAGCCAGCACCGGCCCCGCAGTTCTGGCTTTTACTCGTTTCGCTACTACCCTCCCGAGATCGTTCACCTTCCCTTTCTACGGTTCGTTAGGAGCAGCTGGATCAAAGATACCCTTTTCCTTTCCCCACAGCTATCGATGAATGTCTGCATCAGGTTTCCTTCAATGAGCACACGTACAGGCTGGTATGCTTTTCGAACCATCTTCTCCACCTCAAGTGCCCACTGCTGCAGGTTTTCGTTGCTGCGTTGCATGCGATCTTTTAGCTGCGCAAGAAAGACATGTTCCAGGTGAGCGTCGCCATATCTCGCCTCCAATGCCCCAGGGAGCTGCTCGTAGGTCACTTTTTTACCGAGAGCTTCCAACACAGTTAAGGCTTGGTCGCGCAGGCCTAGGGTGAGTGCAGTCATGGCCTGGCTTTTATTCCAGCCGTTCGCCTCCATGACGGCCTCGAACTGGATTTTGTAGACCGACCTGGAAGAAGTCCCGTCGAACGGCGGCACTTTGAATCCACGTAGCGAAGGTGTTGTAGCTACTACGGGAGCTGTATTTCCATCCCCAAGTTTAAGTTCGTCCAGTGATTTCTTCATGTCAGCCATTACGCTGTGCACTGTGACGATTTGGGTTTCTGCTTCAGACATCCTTCACCTCCCCTATCTCTTTCCCAAAGGTAGCGTGAAGGTCCTTCATGAGGAGCATCTGCTCTTCCGACCGACGAGCCTGTTCCGCCTGCTGATCTTCCAACCGACGGGCCTGTTCTTCCTGTTCGCGCTGCAGCTGCTCTTCCAACCGTCGGACCTGTTCCTGCAGCATCATCATGAGCGCACCCTAAGTCACGCGCTGCAGGTGTAGGAGCTGCTGACGGGCCAGCCTCCGTGGCTGGCAGTTGGTCCCCCGACGTCGGCGTTGCACCACCAAATCTTCTCTGGTCCGTCTCCTGCTGACGTTGACTTCGGGTACGGACACACTCCGCGTCCTCCTTAGGTAAAATTTGCATGATTTTATCCCACTTCTGACACCAATTGTTACGAGCTTAAGGTTCATGACAATAGAAACTACCGATTGAATTACCAAACACCAATTAAAACTTAAATCACACTAATAATTATTCACACTTCACTCTTTAGTTCACTTTATTTCACTCCGAAATCTTCACTCGTATCGCCAATTCAATACTGCCCCGATCGCGGATTGCAGCGGCTTTAAACCTTTTCCACCGAAACATCCAGAATGTTCCAGCTAGTACCGGTCCCGACCGACTAATTGCGGAAAGTTCGAGCGTGGACCCTTCTAGAAAGCTTAATTCTTCTGTTCGATACTAGATGGCGCTGTTGGTGGAAAGTTCAAGATTGGCATTTTCTAGGAAGCCCTCCTCGCTCTGTTCCCCGACACTATGGCGCAAGTGCCAGGTACCAGACATCAACTTAGGTGCGCAACATTATGTACGATAGCATAGCGGCGTCTCAAATCATTTTATTTTTAAAATTCGTTGATTTAATATTAAATAAGATAAACAATCGTGTTTTAGTAATTCCTGGACAAATTCAAAATTAACTATTAAAAAGCAAACTAAAATTATTCACCAATATTTCTATGTCGTGACGTGTTGGTTAGAGGGAAGACAGTGGGCGAGCAAGGGGTAGCAAGAGTAGCGCGGGGCAGGGCTACTTGTCAGAGAATAGAGCAGGCTTCTATTCACTTGTTACTTTTCATTGCACACATATCACTTGTTACTCGCACTTGTCACTGCCTGTTCACACGCACTAATTACTTGTCAGTTGCATTTGCCACTCGCACTTGTCACTTCTCAAATTGTAAACCGGGCTTTAGGGTGGCAAGCAAGCAGACATAGCACCTGAAAGTAAGCGGAAAATGTGGACCATCATCTACCAGTGGACTAGACATCTACATATTTCTTCACCAACCTTCGTTCAAAAATCAAAATGCATATAGGTTGTCATCCATCAGTGCTAAGATAGAGCCAGTGAAAAGGATCTCCGATTAACAGAGCACACACACACAGCAGCTTCATGTTGGCATTTTATATGGATATTCTGTTAAATTGTAGCCTTTCGCACGCAAGCCGAATCGTTCGTGCTGCAGCCAAAATACGAATAATAATGCAGAAAGCTACATGGGAACTTAAAGCGGCTGTCTGTCATATCTTGCGCCTTATCCCTTTTCGGTCGTGTCGAAGTTTCGTCCCATTGGACTATGAGAGTGAGGGAATAGAGTGCACTTGTGCTTACACACATACACTAATGCACTATAGTGCAGTGTGCAGGTAAAGGTGTATACACACAGGTGGATTATTATTTGTAATCCTATCCTGCGAAGATGGCTAATCTCCGCTGTGATTGGATGTCGTGATCAAAATTAGGTCTGGAGATTATTATTATTATAAATGCCTATGTTATTAGATAAAACTTAATCTCTTTGGGTATGGAGTCAGTCAGAAACACGGGTGACAGACCCGATACAATATACATAAGTATTATATTTTTTTAGTATTCTCACAATAAAACCATGGCGTTTAAAAATGGTTTTAAGTAATTTGAGATTTTAAGACATACAACTTACCAATTAAATAATACATGACGTCATCTTCAAAGGGATTGTTTGAGAACCATATCATATTGGTTTCCTCGGATTGTTTGAACATTCCATACACAGGATCAAATATCTCCTTAAGCAACAACATGAAAAACTCTTTTCTTACACCACCAGCGTCCTCCGCCTCCTCCCCCACGAATTCTACCTGAAACAAATCATGGTTAATAATGTACTTTTTTTAAATGTATGTTTATCGCTATTGTCCCAGAGCCTCTACAATTACACTATACCGATACAAGGTAGCGAGTGAATACAAACTATCAAAATCCACTGCTTATCATATAGCATCCCCCAAAGGTTACCTCATGACTATAGCAAATAACCCCTTAATTGCTACAGTTGCCTCATTTAGCAGGTGGGATGGCAGCCGCTGTTTTTTTTATTATCTAGTTGTTATTAGAATCATGCTGCCCATCTCCTAGTTCATTTCGGTCTGTCTTCACCGACTGGACGACATCGGTTAGTGGATATTCTAACAACGCCACTACATGGTGCAGTTTTTATTTAAATGACATTGTTTTGTTCAATCGTGCATTTAATTAAATGGCCCAAATTTTTATTTACAAACCACTATGAACAAAGTAACATTATATTTTTTACTTAATGTACATTTTTTCCATTCAATAAAATATTTTTACGTAATGAATAATGATTCAATAAAAATTGTAATTCTGACCTCAATTTTTTTAAACTTGTCTAAAGCAAGCGCTTGGCTACAATGGCAAATGATGGTAAGTAATAATCAAACCCTGATGGTAAATGGCACAGTCTTAGCGTAACAAAAGCTTTTCGCCTCACACACACCCAGATTTTTATCGGGCGGCAATTATTCCACTCCTTTTGTAAGTATTACGAAAACCGACAAAAACGGTTTGTTTGAATGCCTGGAATATCGACAACGAAGTGGTGAAGACCCGCCGACCGACTGGTTGTCCAATGGTGGAAAGAGGACGGAGAAATTAAAGCATGGAATTCCTGTGCACCCTCTTTTAAATGCGTCCTGTAAAATACCTGGCTACTGTACCTACGCCTGTGCTCGAGACTAAGAAGATTGGTTGCAACCAGATTAATGTCACCATTAAGTCACTAAGTACACCTCTCCTTTATGTCCAACGCTGCTAGGAGGAATTTCAAGACCAGCCCATATGTTACAACAATATTATACGCACGACCGGACTTGCAGTTTATATACACCTTACTACAAAGCAGGCATGTCTCACTCCGCGTTTTAGGCATGAAAACATATATACGCTGAGAGGTCCCCTACAAGGTACTAATTCAGTGTGGTTATCACTTGTGCGATTCAGCAGAAACGCGCCTTACGTTGACAAAAAAGTAATTTTCTTTTATCTATTTTAAAGCAATTAATATTTATTTTTGAGTTTTTATTCTAGATAGCCACTAAAATCTCGAAAAAGTAATGCATAATTAAAACTACTTTTTACGGATTTTATCGCGTTTATTTTTACTTTTTATTTACTTTTATTTTTAATTCCCGACGTTTCGGGCGCTCCAGCACACATGGTCACGGGGGACTGAGATGACTGACGTCCCGATGTCATTGTTAAACCCGGAGTACCTTCAGCTTTTTTAATTATTGTTTATGGTCCGATCTATGCAAAATGAACTGACTATGTCCTGAGGTCTTGCAGTGGTATGCTTGGGTTTAGTTTTAATTTTATTGATTATAGGATCCCAAGCAGGTGGTAGTACCCAGCCTCCTTCTCTACTGAAATTAGGATGTTTTTTAATTTCAATAGCCTCACGTATCATCCTTGGTAGGAATCGGTGTTCTTTCGCGAGGATTTGTGGTCTATCAAATCTGATGTAATGGTTGGGTCCGTCTAGGATATGATCACAAACTGCAGACTTCCCGGAACGTTGATGCTTCACATCAGCTATATGTTCTTTTACGCGGGTTCTAATTGATCTTTTTGTTTGTCCTATATAAGAGAGACCACATTCACAATCAAGCTTGTACACTCCTGCATCTTGTAGAGGAATATGACCCTTGACGGATGGTAGGAACTGACTAATCTTCTTCGGCGGCTTGTAGAATGTTCTAATAGAAGCTCGCTTCAAGATATAGCCAATATTTTCTGTGACACCTCTGACATATGGTAGTACAGCAGGCACACGCTCGACTGTGGCCGGCTTCACTCGGTCACTGTGACGTAGGCGCGGGACCCGAAGCTTGTTGTCGTGCAGAACTTGCTTGACGTGCTGAAGCTCGGCGGCCAGGTGTTTGCTGTCACAGATCCCTCGTGCTCTCTGTAACAAAGATTTGCCCACGGTAGCTAACTGTGAAGGATGGTGGTGAGATTCACCTAAAATCAATAAAATTAAAACTAAACCCAAGCATACCACTGCAAGACCTCAGGACATAGTCAGTTCATTTTGCATAGATCGGACCATAAACAATAATTAAAAAAGCTGAAGGTACTCCGGGTTTAACAATGACATCGGGACGTCAGTCATCTCAGTCCCCCGTGACCATGGGTGCTGGAAAGCGCCCGAAACGTCGGGAATTAAAAATAAAAGTAAATAAAAAGTAAAAATAAACGCGATAAAATCCGTAAAAGTAGTTTTAATCATGTATAGTGTTCGCGTAAATACAAGAAATCATTAAGTAATGCATAGCATACAGGTGCTTAAATAACAATAGGAATGTCGACTTTTCATTATTTACTGTTGCAAAGGATATCGAAAAGTAAGATATTATTATTTATAGGTAGATCTAGACAATTAGGAACCTAGTTACAAGTTCCATAGTTACAGATTTATTATTTCATTAGCAAGCCGACCACAGCTTCACAAGTCATGTATTTCAGAAATTATAGTTATTTTTTTTTGGATAAAATGTACACCATGAGACAGTTTTTTCATTCCTGTTGCTACAAATATTTACTTTTTGCCAATTTTTTTCCTCTTACGTCATTCTGAATAGTGCTTCTGTAACCTGTAATCCTAAACCCTGTGCCGATCACTCCAGCTTGATTGAAAATGTAATTTTATACCAAACCAAGTTTTCAGAATTAGTTTTACGCACTACTTCAACTGACCGTCTTGGAAAAAAATTGTACTACGCCAGTTTCGCAAGTAGCTTTAAAAGTTAGCGCATTTAATAAGGATTCTAACGTGGTATAACACTTACTCCATTATTTCTTAGATCAGCCATAAAAAAAATTTTATTAAACAAAGTCAGTTTTTAACAATTTTTTGGAACTCACATTAAAACGATTCTAGCGCAACCAAAGCGTTCCTAATCACCACAGCGTGGTTTAAATGAGATAGAGAGACATTCCATAAAGTGTGAGCGAGACAGATAGTGACGCTTATGAGACACAGACGCAAATACAAACTAAAGTAATAAAATAATGGTTATAAAATTAAGACAGTCAGTTTCGTTTTTATGATAAAATTTATTACTTATTTTACAAAAGATGTTCAAATTGCCGTCCTTGAGCTGCAATACAAGCCCGACATCTTCTTAAAAAAAATCGTGAAATCAGGCGGGCGAATCTTCCATTATTACAAAATTCAACTGCTTACACTATTCTCTGTCTAAGCTCTTCTACATTTTCAATTGCCTTGGAATATAATTTTTCCTTCACTGCTCCCCCAGTAAAAAAAACTAGAGGATTTAAGTCGGGTGAGCGGGCGGGCCACGAGATCGGACCAGCCCGCCCTATCCATCTGTCCGGATTTTCCTTGTTAAGGTGTTCTCGAACTAAGCGGCTACAATGCGCTGGACAACCTTCTTGTTAGAACCACATATCTCTGAAAATAATAAGCGGCACGTCCTCCAGCAAATTGAGTAAATGATTTTGTAAAAAATCTAAATAAATTTCAGCATTTAAAACTTCTGGCAACTCGAAAGGCCCTATGGCTTTTCCGTTTAAAATTCCAGTTCACATGTTTATTTTGAAATGGTACTGTGATCTATCTTGTCTCATCAATCGTGGATTTTCGACGTGCCTTTCGTGTAGATTGTGAATGTTCATGTAGCCGTCTTTGTTAAAGGTTGATTTATCCGACCACAAAAAATTTTAGGAATTGTGGGTCTTCTCGGAGTTTTTGAATCATGGTTTGGCAAAACGCAACCCGAGGTTCATAATCCCGAGGTAATAACGTTTGTACTCGATGTACATGATAAGGGTGGAGCTCATTTTTTTATAATATTCGGTGAGCTATACTTTTGGGCACACCTGTGCTGGCCTCAATTCCACGTACCGAACAACTTGGGTCCTCATCAACTGCTTGAAGGACCACTTCCTCGTAAGGTAATGAAATTCTACCTTCACCATGCATTTGGTTTGGCAGTCGGCCATCAGAGAAGAGTAGACGGTGCACATTGGTAAAAACTCTGTGGTCTGGATAGCGATCAGCATTAGGGTATCTCTCGCGATACCGTCTAGCGGCTTCACTGGCATTACATCGGCATTCCCCATAAATGAGGTGCATGTTGGCATATTCCTGTGTGGTGTACACAGCCATGGTATGGTACAAATACACAATAACACGTTAGTCCAGGAAAAAGCAAAGGTCGTCGTAAAGAGATCACAAATGTCCAAATCTAAATCACACGCAAACAAGCCCAGTAAACGAAGCCAAAGTAGTAAGAACACAAGATATCACCAGCGAATACGAAAAGATGCGTAGTAAACGAAGTAGCGTTGCTATGATTTCACAGAGTACTTGACTGATTTGTAGTGCTTGTACCAATACCGATAAGAGGCGTCACTACCTGTCTTGCTCACACTTAGCATGGCTCTCTGTCTTGTTCACTCATTTGCGTCTGTGTCTCATTAGCGTCACTATCTGTCTCGCTCACACTTTATGGAATGTCTCTCTCTATCTCATTTAAACCACGCTGTGGTCATTAGGAACGCTTTGGTTGCACTAGAATCGTTTTAATGTAAGTTCCAAAAAATTGTTAAAAACTGACTTTGTTTAACAAAAAATTTTTTATGGCTGATCTAAGAAATAATGGAGTAAGTGTTATACCACGTTAGAATCCTTAACACCTCGGGGTATTCTACTACCAACTAATATTAAAGGATTCTATTTGTTTTCCCACAACACCTAACCCTACAGTAGGAGCGGCCGTAACAGAGGCGCGTAACGATGCATTTTGATTTAATACGCGCGCCGCATTAATATTTTTTCGACTATTTAATCAGTAGGCTAATTGCTAAGATCGCTTTAGCGGCGTGCAAATTATTATGAACATTAGCAACGTTTTGACTAGGTTTGAACTCGCAAGTTTGCTATCAGACAGTAATGCTTCTGTTCTTATACTATTATTTTATATTATCATTATTCTGTTTTCTGTTCTGTTTATTAGTCTTTTATTTTATATTATTATTAAACTGTGCTACAAGTGTAATAACTTAACGGCGTTTGTCTCTTCATCCGAATACAATCTGGGTGTCTTAAAGGCAAGAGTAAACAGACAATGTCTCAGAGTAAATAGGCGCTAAGAAAATGCGATTTATCATATCGGGCTTCATCACCACTTACTAGCAGGGGGTATTGTAGTCAAGCAAAAAAAGTTAATTAAATAGTTTTCAAATCAAAAAGAGTCAAAATCAATACATACTCTAAGTGGCTTCTTCAACTGCGATGTGTCATGACTGCTTATTTGCGTCATTGTATCTCTAACTATATGATTCCTTGAGATTGTGAGGTTGAGGAACTGATCTCTTTGGTATTCATACGTAGGGTCGATGAATAGGCGGGTAAATATTTGTGTTGCGGCCCTGCTTATGGCCATTTGCATTTGCAACTGTTGGTCTATCTTCAGCAGTAGAGATTTGCACTGCACGTCGAATAGAAATGCGTAGTTACACATGTGACGTTGAGACGACTGGAAAAAATACAGGTAATTCAAACAAAATGCAATCGACCTAAAGTACATATGGGATAACAAAATCTGTTAATTTCTTTTTATAATATTAGAATCACAAACAAGCTAACAGTCAGTATTACAGCTTATTGACATCTGCAACTAGGCTTGCCAACTGTGTCGGATTTCTGCAACTTTCCGTATCGACACAATTCAGCCGGCCCGATTTGACTTTGCAGGACGCCTAATGTCTTAGAAATCAATGAACAATCAATCATCTCAGTAAAGTAATTATAAATGTTATCGCTGCATTATTGATTTTTTAAAATGATATAATTTACATCTGTTTAAGCTTTTACGATTCTTTGACTTTGTTACAAAAGTTTCGGACTTATATTCAAAATTTTATTCTGTATTTCTATATTTTACCTACGTGACATTTCTGACATTTCTATATTTTACCTACGTGTATTAAAAGATGATCAAATAAGGTATAAAACGACAAATAATGCCTTTGTTACAAATTTCATCTGTACTTATCTGAATAAAATCATCGCAACGTCTATCTCAACTTTCGCATGTTATAAAGTTTTCCGCGAGATATGCAAATGACTTGTAGAGTTAGCAAGTATATCTGCAAGCAACTTTAAACAACGTTATAGATGTGTTGTAATCTCTGAGGTCTGTGATAAAATAACAAAATCTAACAAAATAACTAAATATGACAAACAAAATAAAATAAATAGTAGTACCAAAACCCACTAAACCGTTCATTGAAATTTTGTTCCCGCCCTAATGGTTTTACGGTAACATAAAAAACAATTCTTGGATAACTGTTAGAAACTACTTTAAAAATATCATTATCATCAACAGCCCATATTTTTCCATTGCTGCACAACTTTCCCTCTTAAATTGAATCATGCAGATATATATATATATATATATATATATAGAGCCTTATTCAAACCACATACTATTGTGAGCATATCAAATAACATTTAATATAGTAAAGTATCTCTTGGTGAAATTATTAAAATATTAGTTAATTTGACTAAGGAAATAAAATGTAATTGTTATTGGTTTTATTGTAACGTAAATTTTTTATAATCATAAAAATAGCTTAAATTTTGAGAAAATTCAATCAAAGCGAAACGAAATTCGCAATTGAAAAAGTTTAGTGATGTGTTTTTACACATTTGTAACTGTAATATTTGAAAAAAGAAAAATAACTTCCTACATAATAACATAGAAAGGCTTTAAATAACAAGATTTGTATAATACTTACGTCTTGATCGGCTAGCCACTGGATATAGTCGGTCGCTATATCCACATAGTTGCAGAGATCTTCTATGTAAAAACATTCCGCTGGTACTTTGGGCTTTTTTGGATTCACGAAATTAATTTTATTTAAAAATGATAATGTATTCAAAATTTGCACAATGCTATGCGTGAAAGAAATTTTCTGAAATAAGTTTAAAAAATTAAAGATAAATAAGAATAAAAGACAGACATAATAATGTAATATTTATATGAAAAATCTGTTACATCTGTTACAGATACCGTTTTAATAATCATTTATAAGTATTAGAATTATACATTAGAAGTAAATTTTATTTCTTATTATATTTTTAGAAAGACGTTACGTGTAATTAGAAATTTCTCGCGTATCACTAAAGGCCGATTTACACTTCGACAAGTACAGTAGCGGGTTAGCTTGCGAACCTGGCGAGTTAAGTAAAAAACCTCGTTATAACGGCAATCAGTGGAGTTAAGTAGCAAATTAACAATTAAGTTGAACGGAATAGCCAGCCTGTCTGTGTCTGTGTATTTTTTGGTGAGTCAAATTCGAAGTGTTGCCCTCCCGCTCGTCTCCCACCACCCGCTACTAATCTCGCCACTCGTGTCAATACTACTGCCCACTTAACCATTTACTATCAACAGCCCTGTAACTGAACTCGCTACTGTACTTGCCGAAGTGTAAATAGGCCCTAGATTGTTCTACTAACATAAATTGCGGGCTTTGAGTATTCAACCAACTAGAGACCCCATGCGTTTTAATTCCTAAACAAAAAGTCTGTCACTTTCAGGGGAGGTGAGGATAACAAACTACTATATATTTCACTACAAATGCAAAATTGAATTGAACACAAACAAAAACGCTGCATACACACAGATATTTCACTACAAATGCAAAATTGAATTGAACACAAACAAAAACGCTGCATACACACTACAGCATTTGTGTTTTTGATCAATGTATTTACGCAATGCCATCAAATTGTACACGTGTCGATACACTGGTGCCACTGTATACATACGTAAACAATGTATGGCGAGGACAATGTCGATATTTTTATCAATAAACAAATCTTTACAGTCCGTATAAATTCAGCGTAGGTAAAAGTGATTTTTAGTGTTTTTTCGTTCAGTACAGCAAATCACAAGTCCAATGCCAATGAACGTAGGCCTCCCGCAAGGAATGCCACAAAGCACGGTCCAGAGCTACCTGCACCTATCGACTTCTTCGTCTTACCAGGTCACTCTATCTATTGGGGGGTCGCCCTACACTTCGCCCACCGGTACGAGGCTGCCAATAAAAAAAATTTTTTTTACCCATTGGTTCTTCGAGTTATATGGCCGGGCCGGCCCATAGCCATTTAAGCTTACTAATCCATAAATTCTTAATTAATAATAGTAAAAATATTTTGTAGTCTCAAAACTTGATCGAGTTTTCGTTTGAATTTTTTTTTAATAGAATAAGCATAGCCTCATACGGCCAGCAGTGAAGGGATTTTTGGTGTAATATAAAATTATGATTTCATTCGTTAATAGAATATGGCCAGTTTTTGAAAAACTGATCAAACTCAGATTTTAATACAAATTTGATCAAAAAGTTGGTTATGGATACTGTGCAAGTTGTGTTCATACCGACCATTAAAATACTAATGCGTCAGCAGCTTTATTGGAATTATCGGATAAAAAATCAAGTCTGTAGTCGGTATAGTCATAATGTCTTTGGCCGCTAGGATGGTACAATAAATTTTTTATCAGTGTTACTCTCCGCTGTTAATTTTAATGCCGTCAACGCTTCTTCAGTAAACCCTGGTAGGCCATTGTACTGTGCCACTTAGACAATGTCCGTGGTTCAGGCAAACATGTTTCAAAAGTTTTTATGTACATATTGTTACGAGCTTAGGGTTCGTGACAATAAAAACTGCCGATTGAATTACCAAAATTTACACTTTTATTACCGAACACAAATTAAAACTTAAAAGACACCAATAATTAATCACACTGATTCACTTTATTTCGCTCCGAAGCTTCGCTTGTCTCGCCGAATTCAATACTGCCCCGACCGCCGCATGCAGCGGGTTTAAATACACCTTTATAGAAACATAGAATATTCCGTGGGGCTTCTAGAAAGCTTAATTCTTCTGTTCGATAATAGATGGCGCTGTTGGTCGAAAGTCAAGATTGACATTTTCTAGGAAGCCCCCCCTCGCTCTTTTCCCCGACACTAGAGGTCGCTAGTACCAGGTACCTGACGTCAACTTAGGCGCGCAACAATATCGATAGGCATTTGATTGATAATTAAGTGTTAGGGCGAAACATTTTAACTCTGGGGAATATTTAGTTCTGAGCTGTTTTCCGGTCTTACTTTTAAGTAATTGTTTCAATAAAAGTTCGCTTTCTTCAATTCCTATCTTTTCTAGGACCCGTTTGTTTTCTTTATTTATCAAAGATGTCTCTGTCACTGAATCTAGCATTTCTAGCAAACTTATGATTTTTTTATACACCCTTTCTACGATTGAAGTCATTTTATGTTATTGGTTTTTATTTACAGGCGTTTTTGTAGTTTATTTTTCCTTGTTGTATAGTCTGTTCGCTTAGATACTACAATACAATACAATATATTTATTTGCATTCCATAATGTAGACATTAATAATATTCAATTTTCACAATATGGACCCTATTGGGTATAGCAAATTAGAACAGAGGAGGACGCAAAAATGTTTTATTATTCATTATAATTATTATATTATTCATTATATAATAATTATAGGTCGCTTTTGTGCCACGCAGCCAAGGCACGTGCCGCATTTTGTCAAAGGCACCGCCGCGACATAAAAGGTCGTGCTATAAAGCACCCGAAACGTCAGGAATCAAAATGTCAAAATTAAACTTGCTAAAATCCGTAGAATTGGTTTTATTTAATGTGTAGGGTTCGCGTGAATTTAAAAATTTATTATTGTAAAATTATCGAAATTCTAAGATATTTTCAAGAAAACTATTATTGATATCAAGAGTAATAAAAAACATCGATTATTATTAATTACAAACTGATTTAGTTAATAGGAAATTAGTTTTCGTTAATATATTTATTTTGTGTAGTAAATTATATTTATTTAAAAATAACTTATTTTTAGCTTCATGAACTATGATGGCAGCTCTTGGTATTTGAGCAAAATATCCAGAAAACACGCTTTTAGAACGGTAATATTATGTTAAAAAATATTCACAGAACACACATTGTTCTTTTGTAGATTTGACGTTATTGATTGTTTTTATTTATTGATTGTTTGTGGTATGAGTCGGACTCTCGTACCTTTGACAGAGAGGTATGCCTTTAGATGCCGCCTACTTTGGTTTAATACTCAAAGATTGCGGGTTAATCTCTAAATTCTAGAAAAATGGGCTGGTTGTGGTTTACGGGCAAGAAAATAATTTGAGATATAAAGGATTTATTTACAACTAGTGATACACCCTGGCTTCGCACGGGTGATTTCTGGGTCTCAAACTCAATCAAACACACAACAAAATATTTCATAAAAATTTTCGAGTTTTAGCAAGACTAACGGACAGCAATTGATTTTTATATTTAGATATATGTATTCTTTAAATAATTAACAAAATTGAAGTGATAAACAAACTTGTCTACCTAATGGTAATTGGGTATTGCAGCCAACTTGAAGCAAAGACGTGACAAACACGGCTACAGACGCGTTGTCACCTCTAAGGACTAAGATGGAATGTCTCACAGTCATTGTAACGATACTGGCTCTTTATACACTTCAGACCGGAACACAGCAGCGCGGGCACTGCTGCTTGCTGGCAAAAATAGGTAAGCAACGCCGTCTTAGACTATACCGGGGCCCTTGGGCACATAAGAATTAGAACTGTTGGAAAGTAAAAAAAAGTGAATGACAAAAACATTTTTCTGCTATGATCTTATATTTATTATAGTTAATTGGAAAAAATCAAATATAATAAAATAACGGGTGTTTGCGAAGCGCTCCCGAAAACGAAGACAGACGATAGTACTAACGATACCTATGATGATGGGACCAAATGAAATTCGATCCCGATGAAAAAAAAATCATTTTTACAACGTTTAATTAGCTTTATTCACGCTCTATCATGTTAGTGCAGCTAAATGAAATATCGTTTCATTTAGCATTATTTCATTAAAAAATCGTGAAAATACTTAAACATAAAACCAGCAGTGAAATTTCAAATAGCTAACATCGGCTGATAAAGAGTCAATATACACGCAGCCCACAGCCCGCCGCTACCACAGCGAGGTGACACGAGTCGGCCGAGCGGCGTTACCGCTGTGTGAAAGGGAAGGGTAAAGTGGGCGAAGTACAGTAATACCCAATGCATTCTTTCGTACGGAGCTAGATAAAAGAGTTCAACGTCCGCGCGTTTATTGACCCTATAATCAGCTGGTACCATTTTAATTTTCACTGCTGGTTTTTTTTTTCAGTATTTTCATGAATTTTTTATGAAATTATTGTATCATTTAGCTGTACTAACATGATGGAGCGTGAATAAAGCTAATAAAACGTTGTGAAAAGATCATGAAGAGTATCGTTGGTATTTTCGTTTGTATTCGTTTTCGGGAGCGTTTCAAAAATACCTTTTATGTCATTAATGAGGGCACGATCACGACATCCACGACTTTTTCTGCCACCAGGGCGGCGCCACTTTACACTATAAAATATTTGACATATTTCATAGCGGGGACGATAATTTCTTAGGAAAATTTTAACTTTAATGTTTTTTCCTAAACTTTCTTTCAAAAAAGGAAAATATTCTATAACATCTTTTTATTTGTTACATTAAAATTTAAGCTTCACTTATCAAAAAATAAGGATCGTAACAATTATTGTGGTTGAAAATTATCATATTAAATAAATCATTTACTGTTTTTTTTTATTGATCCACCAACACTTGTATCATTCCTTACATGCTATTTAAATACAATGAAGTGATAAGAACTAAAATGTACAAATAATTTCAGGCGGATACAACATGCAAATAACTTTCTCAGCACTGTGTACCTCTATTACTAGGATAAAGAAAGAATTAAAAATTAAAAGAAATTATAACTAAATACAGATAAAAATATATAGAAGCGAAAAGGAAAGAACATATTTTATAGAATGTTACAAAAGATGGTCTCTTAAGGTGCGACGGAGCTTGTTAGGTGGGTCGAAAAATATATCAATTTTATCTCTAAATTTGTTAACAAGTTTACTCAATTTAGCAATTGGGGAATTGGAGCCAAACACTGTTCTTCTATATGGTCTAGTCAATAGTGTAATCTTACGAGCGTAACGCGGGTAACGAAAGGGAACGCATATATTAAATTTACTTAAAATTTCAGGACAGTCAATAACACCACTAATAATTTTAGAAGCAAAAATCAAATCAATAATATCCCTGCGGTTTTCAAGAGAAATCATTTTGAAATTGATCAAATTATTTTCATATGATACACGCTTCTTATTACTTCTAAATCCGCTTGCGTATGACAAATGTCTTATAAATCTTTTTTGGATCCCCTCGATTCTCAGTGAATGTGTAGCGTAATGAGGTCTCCAGACTATAGCACTGTACTCTAATATACTTCTTACCAAACTGTTAAATAAAAGAATTTTAATTTTAGCATTTCGAAAGAATTTGATATATCTTATGACAAAACCCAACATTCTAGATGCACGTTTAGTAATGTTTTCAATGTGCGGTACGAAAGTAAATTTTTTATCAAATATGACCCCGAGGTCCCAAATTTCGTCTAACTGCTGTATTTTATTACATCCAATGTGATAGCTATAGTCGATAGTGTTAATTTTTCTCGCATATTGCACATAGAAACATTTACTAATGTTTAAGTCCATACGATTTACTTTGCACCATTTAATCAGTTAGAATCGTTCTCTTCCACAATCGTCTTGCAAATTTTTAAGTCATCCGCATACAAGTACACACGAGACCATTTCATCAATTCTGGAATTTCATTTACGAACACCCCAAACAGAATCGGTCCAAGGTGAGACCCTTGGGGCACACCAGAATTAATATTTTTTAAGCCTGACTGATATCCATTCACCACCACAAAAAACGCTCGGTCCTTTAAATACGATTTTAGCCATTTTAACATACTACCAGTAATGCCGTAGGCAGCTAACTTACGAACCAATATGTCATGTGGGAGCCGATCAAATACTTTGCTAAAATCAGTATATATTACGTCGACTTGTTTCCCCGCATCAAGTGCTTCAATTAGTATTTCCGTAATATGTACCAAATTAGCGCACGTAGACCTAGATTTAACGAACCCATGTTGACTAGTGGTTAAGTAAAGATTGATATGTCTCTGAATATAAGGACAAATAATTGACTCTAATAATTTAGCAAACACTGATAATATAGAGATCGGCCTGTAATTTCTTACATAATCCTCACTGCCCGTTTTATGAACCGGAACGATTTTAGCTATTTTTCATATAGTAGGAAATTGCCCAGTACAAAGAGAAAAATTGAATATAATTAATAGTGGATTAACAAGGTGATCAGCACATCTGACTACAAACACTGGAGGGATTCCATCAGGACCTGCTCCTTTATTACATTTAATGCTTTTTAATTTATTTAATAGGGTATCATGATCAATTTTCAGCTGTGCTAGGTGAAGGCTATTAATTTCAATTAATTTCAAGGACTCTGAATGGTCATAAACATAATCCTGCTCTGTACATTTAGTATTTTCAGAGTACACGGATGAAAAGTGTGAAGAAAAAAGTTCGCAAGTTTCCACTCCATCAGAAGTTACCGTCGTACCGTCAGTCATTGATAGGGGATAGGCGCCTGAACCACCACGTTTCGCCTTGACAAAGGACCAAAACAGTTTTGGGTTTTTTTGCTATGTCACACTCTATTAGTTTTATATATTTGTTGTAGCAATTTGTGGCCATTTGCGTACATCTTTTACTTAGCAATTGCAGTTCAAGCTCATCTCTAGGATTTTTATATTTCTTGTGACGACACCTAACTTTATACCTTTCTTTTAGAGTTCTAATTAGATTCCGATCAAACCAAGGTGGGTAGTTGTTGTTCTTTGACGATTTGTTGGGGACAAATTTTTTGATAATATCCCGAATTTTCTGGTAGTCTGTTAATGCTTTTGAAGTGTTATTTTTATTAAACATTACCAAATAATATTCTTATATAAATTAAATCTTATAGATTTTCAAAAAAAATCTAGGCTATGTAGTAAGACAACTGTACAGCCCGAAAAAAGTTTAGGTGGCGGCAAAATGCGGAACTACATATTTTCTACCTAGGAAATCTGTCAGTGCCAATGATGTGTGAAATGCCGGCAATGTGTGGCTTGTCACTGCTCAGGGTTGCCAGAAAGTTAGTAACAACGCCCTCATTAACTCTATAAATTACTTTGTCAGGTTATATTTTACTAAAATAGAAAAAAGATTGTATAGCGTAAGCGAATACAGCCGATGCCATTCGTCATGGGGGCCCCGTAATGATAGGGACCCTGGGCACGGGCCCCATATGTGCCCTTATGGTAAAGAAGGTACTGTAGTTAAGTGTTGTATCTAATCGGATCAGGCTCCCGTCACAGCCTAAGAAGAACATACAGTCAGTCATCGCGTTTGATGTTGTCGGAAAAGCCGACATAAACAATAAATTGCTAGTGTTGTCACAACAGGAAGTAATAAAAAAACTGATTTTATTTTATTTGACGTTTAAACAAATTCCTGTGTATGTGGAAACTAATTGCTAGGGTTGTCACAACAGGAAGTAATAAAAAAAACTGATTTTATTTTATTTGACGTTTAAACAAATTCCTGCGTATGTGGAAACTAATGAAACTTTAATTCCTAATCTTTAAATGAGGACGACCCACAGTTTGGTGCCGCACATGTAGAACACACGTGAACCAATTTAATTTATTTGAGTGACATTACAACACTAATCGGGCAGCTCCCGAATGACTAACGGCCGCTCAGGAGTGCTCCGCCCGCGTCTCGCCCCGCACAGCACCGCACGATTGCTCAGTCTAGACGCCTTCGACGACCGACTGTTAGTAGGTAGTAGTTAAACTGTGCTCCTGGACAGAAAAGGACTCCTACCACCTAGTAATATATAAAGAAATAATCTTACCTTATTAGCTCGAACTACAGGCTGCATTAGTTCATAAACTATCACACTCTTAAAAATATCAACTAGCATCTCAAAGTACTCAGTGGGTTGCGCTTCCCACCACATTTGTACAATTTTCTGCGGGTACATTGCTAATTTATTAAACGCCTCCGCGAATGGTCCCTGTACAAATAAATATGATATTACTACAGCATATTCAAAACTGTTAATGGGTACTAGTAACGGTAACGGTCATGAGTTTGTAATTTTACAATACCTGTAGCTCAGGATGACGCCGTGGATTCCTCATTTCATGATACAACGGAAGAATTAGGAACACTCGTAGCACTTCGGCGTCGGGTGGGGACGGCTTCATTTTCTTTATAATGTTTTCTGTTAGGTGATTAAATATCTGAAATATTGTTAAAATATTACCGGTAAATACGTAACGCAAAGAGTTAAAATACAAAAAAGAAGCGAAATTTAAATTCAAAAACAGTTAGTTATATGGAAGAAAAGTAAATTAGGTTCTGCTGTGCCAGAGGTGTGCCGTACAGTATCGTGGGCGCGTAAGAAAATCCACCGCCCTATTATATCCCGTGGGTTTCGTAAAAGAACGTAACGTCGTCTGTTTTCTGTATGTCGGTACGTTTTTACAATATAAGAGTGAGCGGGAGGTTACGTCACTCTAGCGGAGCGTTATATATATCTATGGTGGCGGGGTAAATTTGAGGATAGATCGGAACCCCAACTCGTTTGTGCACTATAAAGTTTAGTGTAGGTGCCTCTACTGATCTGAGCATCCGATCTGTCTATTCTCGCAAAATGTACAGTCGACATAAAAAACGAATTCAGAATAATTCATTATTGATGAGCATTTACGTCTCAATATAATGCAGCCATATCCCATATTACACCCCGATTATTTCGCGATCCACTATGATGTTCACGTTCATGCGAGGTAGGTGTTGTCATAATTATGACGTTTTTATAGGTCAAAATTAAGAGTTTATCTTTTATTTTATTTATCTATTATTTTAAGTTATTACAACTCTCTTCAATCCTTTAATTATGGGATAATATAAAAACCTAACATGGGAAAAGGTAAATAAATTCTAAGGCTGCGTTTTTTTTTTTGCGGTTGCAACAAGTACTCTAAACTAAATTTCCATAGCCTTCGCGACATCTGTAGCTCTCGTATGTAAATACCTCCGCGATAAGTTGCAATAGTATGATTCGCGAGCTTGTCACGAAATATTGATTGCAGAAAAAAAATGCAATAATGCATACAATATGTAAACAGTATTGAAAGAAACTTGGCAAGACCTTGTGAGTGTTTTCGCAGGTTTTTTATATAATATTAGGATGACAAACGAGCACTCAGTCCACCTGTTGGTAAGTGGATGCTGGGGCCCATTGAAATCTGCATTTACCCTCGATTAACAATCAAAATGCAGATGCGTTGTGATTGTTGTGACCCTTGAGAACTAAGATGGAATGCCTCGTTTTCAGCAAAAAGGGTCTCCGGTTCTCTACACTCATCATACGAAGCACAGTAGCATTGAGCTGCTATTTTACGCTGGTATTCTGTGAGAGCGTGCTCCTACCCCGGTCGAGCCGACCCATTCGTGCTACAACCATACTAAGCTGCAGATTGGATCTACCACGTAAACAAAGGTGAAAACGCGGCCTTACATTACTTATGATAGTGGTTGTATACGCAAACAAATCTTTTAATCCGTTTTGTTGTCATGTCAACACATATTTAATGATTTGTGTCGAAATCTACTGGTTTCCAAAACTTGTTATAACTTTTATTTAATAGAACTAACCTAACTAAATTTTTATAAAATTATAATGTCTAGTCATATACCAATGAGATCTTTAAGGAACACCCACAGGAACAGTACAATAACATTCTTGTTATTTTTATAATCTACAAACACCTTCTCAAACATGCCAGACTGAAGGAAGAAGTAACAAAACTATACTACCAAACAATTAATTATGAACATCATAAAACGTTAGTAGAAAGAACTTTTGAAACTTACTAAAAATATATTTTGTTCTATTAGTATTAGTTGTATAATGTCTAATGTAAAATATAAAGTTTAGCTTACAAGCTCTTTTATGGAAGTATTTTCAATTCTGCTAATAAGCGCAAAAGCTTCCTCCGCCTTCTTTAGGTCCACGCCGGGTACCTTGGTGTTGCACCCGAAGTGTCCGCTCTGAGTCAGCAAGAACGAGCCGTTCATACACGCCAGCGAACCGAACACTGTTTCCAGATACGCCATTAGGTCCTATAAACAACACTCAAGTGTAATTATAACATGTATATTCATTTTCATTTATTTTATAAAAATTACAAAGGCGAACTGCATTAAAATATTTAAAAAAATCTATGGAAGGAAAGAATGCTATGGAAAACTGTTTGGAGTTGAGCATTCTTCCATAGATTTTTCCCCCGACGGCTAGTAGTATAAATAAGCTAATTTCGTCAGTAACCTGGGCACACCGCGTATAAGTGAAGTTGGTACAACTTAAAAATTACTTGTTTATTGTTTTATGTATGTACAAGTTTCAATATAATTTAGATTTATTAAATATACTGGGTGATTTTTTTACTGTGTGGAAAAAAATAGGGTGTAACTAGTGAACAGAATAGAAACCTATGGCACTGATATTTTACAATTCTTTTTTATTTTAAATTAACATATTATAAAATAAATACCACTAATTTGAAATAAACTTTCAGTAATAAAAAAATAAAAACAAAAATTTTGAACTAAGTAAATAAATCAATTAAAAACTATCGAAATTAAAATAATACGCACCCAATTAATATAGTAATTTATTGATAGATAATTTCATATGTTAAAGTAAAAAAAAAGTTGTTAAATATCAATGCCACAGGCTTCTATTCCGTTCACCTGTTAAAACTTATTTTTTTCTAGACGGTTAAAAAAACCATGCAGTATAAACCGACCAGTTTTACATCCCTTTACTATTAGGATACATCAGTTACAAGAAACAGGAACATATTTTTTTAAATATAGATTGTAAATAATACTTATTGAAAGTCACTTTTTATAATTTGCCACTGGTTCGAAAAAAAACTTTGTCATGTGAAGAACCAGCAAGAAAATATCATTTACAAATATCAACACAATCAATAAAACTAGGAGTTTTACAAATTGATAACAATTGTTATTATAAATTGTACTGACTTATTGGCAATTGTTTTACTCATATAACCTACTTGATTCACAGCATCGTCATCTTTAAACATTTCACAAGCAGCCAGCCTCGGCAAGCTGAGTGTGAGGATCTGCTTCTTACTGTCCGGCACCCGAAAGTCCACAGACACAGTGTCGTCGCTGTTAATTATTAGGAAGCTGTGATCGCCGCCTGCGAATACCTTTATTGAACCGCTGAACATTTCTTGCGAGAACTATAGACAAAATTTTATAATAAATTAATAAGCATATTCAATACAGAAAAAATCCCAGGAATATGTGGTTATGTAAAAAATAATTTATTTGGTAAAAAAACTGAAACTGGGGAGTTACAATAATACCACTGATCTAACAAATGAATGAAGACCCCAACATATGAATGTAGACTATACTAACACGTCATTAACTGAAATAAAAACAGTGGCATTTTATCTATGTATAAATTGCGTGAATTTTAATATTATACTACGTGTCCGGGTTTTTAGTAAATAAACTTGAAAGTCGGTATATACATTTAATTTTATCGATAAAATTAAATGTACGTACAGCCCTAAGTTTTATAAGTTTTAAAAATCCGGACATATTGTATATTTATTAAAATTTATCAGGTTTTATATGTGCTATGGCACAGTGTCCTCATTTATTCTTCAACTGAACATTTTTGCAAATGTTATATAAGTTTCAACTTACAAAAACATTGAAACGTAAGTTTGGTATGTTTATCAATATAGTACCCAAAATATGCAATGACTTATTTAATTAATTCTAATGAATGAAATTTAACAATAAAGCGTTTAATTGAAATAATTCTATACGTTAAGGTCTTAAAAATGCACAAAGTGAAATACTTTAATGTTAGGTAATCGGATATAAGTAACTACTTAATGTTATACAAATATTCTGAAAGTTACAGAAGTTGAATCAATTAATGAATTAAAAATAGAAGTAACTCAACATTAAGTTTAGGGGCCCGCGAGCCGCCTTGTTTAGGAGACGTCTTAACCTTCTCGATCTTGGACTTCTTCTTGGGCTATATGGAGGACACGAACCGTTAGTGGTCATATTACAACATATTATGACTTATTTTTTTTTATAGAATAAGGGTGGCAAACGAGCACACAGTCTACCTGATCCTAAGTGGACGCTGAGGCTTATAGACATCTACATTTATCTTCGACTAAGAATCAAAACGCAGATGCGTTGTCACCCCGAGGACTAACATGCAATGCCTTGTTTCCAGTAGAAAAGGGTCTCCGAATCTCTACACTTACCATACGAAACACAGCAGCATTAAGCTGCTATTTTACGCTGGTATTCTGTGAGAACGTGGTCCTTTACCGGTCGAGCCGATATATATCAGTAGGCCGTAGCTTCGGCTGGATGGGATCTATTAACGTAGGGTTATGTAAACCTAAGATAATCAATGACAATTTATTTTATCAACTTTTCGTTTTTAACCCTTTAATCCCCATAAAAAAACTCATGCAGTTGCATGCGTCCATCAAATCCCGAGCGGTCGCATGCGACCGCACCCACCCACAGTACTTTAAACCATTAAAACTTATATTTAGAGACTACTTTTCTATGAAGAAGTTTGGCATTATAAAATCTATACAAAATTCTTTATCCTGTGGTCTAAACAGAAGTCAGGTTTTACTTCATTACAAAAAGACTATTGTATTTTGATAACAAAAAAACGGGTACATAACAAGCGGATATCGGCAGCATGAAAATCACTATTATATTTCTATATATTACTCAATATTATTTACTTAAAAAGATTATTTTATTAGAGAAATTATATTCACACAAAAACTTTTATAACAATTTTATAATAAAACACTAATAAAACACTAGAAAAATCCAAAAATCAACACAACAACATCCAAATGAAAATGGCGTACGTAATTAACGTAGATTATAAATAAATATCCACAAACTAACTCACTTTTATTACACTTGAGGATAGAAAATTTCATATTGATTATATAAAATTCTATAATGCCAAACTTTTTCATAGGAAAGTAGTCTCTAAATATAAGTTTTAATGGTTTAAAGTGCTGTGGTGTGCGCGGTCGAATCCAACCGCTTGGAATTTGACGGAATATCGCCTTGGTCGGATCCGACCACTTGGGGTTTAAAAGGTTAAGAAAGAAAAACAAGAATTTCAGATAAATTAAAGCCTAGATCTCTCCAGACAATGCTCTCTATCTGTTTGTACACATTAGTTCATCACAATTAGTGCAACCGTTCCGAAGATTAGCTCGGACCGACAGACAGACAGACAAAACTTGAAAATATTTATGGTTAACAGCATGCAAATATCCCCCTGAGCCTAGCCAGTTTTTTTTTAAATGTTACAGATCGGACACTTCAATTTGATTTATACATATCATTCATCATCATCATTACAGCCCTTCACAAGTCCACTGCTGAACATAGGCCTCCTCCAAGGAATGCCACAAACTACGGTCCTGAGCCACCTGTATCCATCGACTTCCTGCATGTCTTACCAGGTCATCACTCCATCTAATGGGGGGTCGCCCTACACTACGCTACGCTACGGTCGCACTACACGCCCTACCTACCTTTCGAGCTATAATGACCGGCCCATTGCCACTTCAGATTATAAATCCGTTGGGCTATGTCGATCACTCTGGTTCTACTGCGGATATCCTCATTTATAAATTTATTACACAGAGAAACTCCGAGCATAGCCCTTTCCAGAGCTCGCTGAGCGACCTTGAGCGTCCTCATACGGCCAGCAGTGAAGGACCCCGTCTCAGATCCATAAGTCGTTACTGGCAACACGCACTGGTTGTGCAATCTCGTTTTCAGAGTTTGAGATATACCTGACGAGAAGATGTGTCGTGATTTTCCGAACGCTGCCCAGCCGAATTGAATCCGTCGATTGACCTCTCTATCGAAGTTGAACTTACCTAGTCGGACTTTATACACATAGATGTTTAAATTATGTTTGCGTCGTGGATTGAAAAATTCACACGTCATTGACTGAACAATCAAATTTAACCTTTCAGAGAGCAATAAATGTTGCTCACGCGTAGGTAACAGTCCTTAATCTTCATTCATATTCACTACATAGAATAAATTGTTTGTTTATTTGGTAACTGTGCAGAAGAACAGCAACAAATGTAAGTTATGCATTAGAAATGTAAATTCAAACAAACAAAAATAATCAACAAATAAATCACGAAAGAATAATAAAAATTTGCTATAAGTATTTGCCTATAGTATTATAGGAGTTGGGACAAGTTTTGTAGTCCTGGAAATTTTAAGAATGATATGATTTTGTACTTCTAATTCATATAACGCTGGCACTATTCACTAACTACAGAATGGATCAATCGGGAAACGTGATTAGTGTCGCTTCGCCTTATGGGCTATAAGGTGAAGCACCTTATACCCCAAAGCAGCCCTAAAAAGTTTATTGCGCATGTTGAGGTCAAAGCTAAATCCGTGCTGCTTGCTATACTTAATTTAACCTTTAAAATTGCTTACACATTGCTACACTAGTGGATTTGCTACTACATGAGATAGATAACTAACTACATTAATAAATGTAACAAAAACGTACAGGCATTAACTACATCAAGGCAATCAAAACATTATTCACCTTACTTTGTCCTGCATTATCAGTCTGCATGAAAGAGAAATTTTGCTCGATTAATTTATGATAACAAAATAATCTATATGAACACAACATGTCGATAAAACATAACCTATTGTAACAAAGATAAATACATGACAATAGTAGCGAATTCATACAGTACAATCCCAACTTGCTTTTATATTAGAGGGGGCAAACGAGCATGCGGTTCAACTGATGGTAAGTAACTACCACCACCCATGAAGGACTGCAACACCAGGGGAATTGCAGATGCGTTGCTGGCCTTTTGAGAAAGAGTAGGCTCTTTTCTAGAAGGTCCCTAAGTCGTATCGGTCCGGAATAATCGCTGGTGGTAGTCGATTTCACAAAGAAGTTGTGCGAGGAAGAAAACTTCTTGTAAATCACAAAGTGGTGGACCGCCAATCATCCAGATGTTATGGATGGTTCGCTCAAAGCATGTACTGAGATTCTGCCACCGATTGAATTGTTTGTAGTGGCGTAAAAGAATACACTACCCCATATCATCCCGTAAGAATCAGAAAAGCAACAGCAGCAAAATGATCACGAGTTGGGCAGCAGCATCTTCCTGATAGCAACTCAAAACATTGAAAAACTGCGGTTGCCAATCAGCCTGCCAAGCGTGGCAACTATGGCAGATAGCCCCCTAAAAGGAAATATGTAGTTTTATAAACTCCACTTTCATCTGAGTGGGCTGTGGTAGCTCAGGGGCTAAGTGCTCGATTTAAATTTTACAGTAAGCGAGCATCGTGGGGTTCGGGCCCCGACAGCAATAATCCAATTGTTAGTTGCAATTTTAAGTGCCGATTTACGTGCTCGGTCGTGAAGAAAGACTTCGTGAGAAAACCAGCAGTCTAAAATATAAAAAAAAATATTTTGAAGACATGCGATGTCCGCCAAAAGCAAAACGCATTGGAAGCGCGATGGACCCTTTTCTCCCTAAAACCATCTTAGAAATGAAAGGACCGGTGCAGTAGGTATGAACAAATCTTTCAAGACACGCATGCTACTTGGCATGTTCATAAAAAGGCTTTTTTCTTTTTTTATAATAATTTGTGATAATAATAATTAAATAATCAATGCCGAGGGATATAGCGGAATGATCATCTCGATAACACCAGTCTCAAATATCAGATGGAGCAGCATTGCAATGCTAATCTGTAGATTAAATATCTAGTATCGCCATCGCCTTTTAGCTTACTAAACTGTGCTACACGCCCAACAATGGACTCCTTACGTAATAATGAGTATAAAGTCTACGATCGAATAATCAATCAATGATGTAAACCTAATTTAACATAGCAAAAGTGTTTGTGGGTGCGATTCGGTCTGCATTCACTATCAACTTCCCATTCAGTGACCAATTTTTTTTTATATTTAAAACTACAAAGTCAGTTTAAGTGAATGCTTAACATTACAATAACATTGAAATTAATAATTAATATAAATTACTTGCTTAGCAATGGGCCTTCTTGCACATTGAACCGTGCATCCTCAATATTTGTAAAAGGAAGTTAATTTCAGGTCAACATACATGAGTTTCACAACGCATTGTATTTGCTGTATGTTAAACAACTCTTACTATCTTCAAAACTTTACAAGAAGAAAAATGTCATCATAATTAACCACCACATAAGATTATATTGATAACATTTACCACTTTTTTTAAAATACTTAAGTGTACAACATTGAAGTAATATGTACTTACGTACTAGAACAGCTATTTCAAACAAAAACTGTGCGCTACTCGCGGTTGGATTATGCGGTTGGTATTTTATCATAGAATAAACATAGGCAGAATGATCTGTAGGTAATAATAGATTGTATTGATAAATAGGTAAATTATATCGAGTACAATTTTTAAATTTTGTCATTTATTTTGTATATTATATTCGCTTAAATATGTAATATTATATTAAATAAGCGTATTATATTAAATAAGCATATTACATATTTTTATCTGAATATTTTAAAAGGTATCTATGTCGAATATAAAAAAAAACCTATAAATGTATGTTTAACAAAACTTATTAATACAGGTTGTTAGTGTAAACACCGTTATCCTTGAAACCAGTGGTTTGGTTTCAATTATAGAACGTAAATTCAATGACTTTAAAAAAAACGCTATTTTCTTTCATAAAATTTAAAAAGTTTCTGTCAGACACCTTCCGTAAATTCATGGATACCCTATGCGCCCGAGTGACGTAATCAGTGTAAAGATCACCGCCCATAACCGCATATAACCTGTGATGTAACTTTACCTTCATATTTTGACCCTGGCTTAGGACAGGCAAAAATTGAGTAATTAAGGAAAAATTGAGATTTTACTAAAAAAATGTTGTTATTTTTCATTGAATTTACGTTCTATAAATGAAACCAAACCACTGGTTTCAAGGATAACGGTGATTACACTAACACCCTGTATAACATTTAAATTACAATTATATTTATTTAAATTAGAATAAGAGTTCATACATGCTAGGCACGCCAGAGTTAAAAATTGACGAATTTAATCCATTTTGACTTTGATGTGAAAAGTATCTGAACAAATTAATTTCTTCTGAACAAATTAATTTTCTATATTCCATGACACGAGCTGGCGTCTTAGGAACAATTTGTTTTATTATTAATCTATAATATTTTTTATTGATTAAGTATCTTATTAACTGATAAAAAGTTATTCCTTGGTATTTGCTACCATAACTTGAATTATTTGTGGAATATCTAAAAACACACCAAGGCATATTTTATCGAGAATTGTTTCTAAATATAATTAATCAACACGTGTCAAACTCATAAGCGTCTAGCGAGTAAAGAACTGAGTAAAGTGCGGCGCTAACGCCGCAATTGAATGGTACAGCGTAACTAAATGCAGTGTCGCCTCTATAGTTCGTGCCAAATCGATTGAGAAAAACGCCGAGTGTCAAAAGGCGTTACTTACAAAATCTCAATTAAGATGTGATAACAATATTTAAATATTGATATTGTTCACACTTTTAGGTCAGCACATATGTTTTGTTTTTTGTTTCTTAAATAATATTGTCTGTGGTTCCTATAAACATCGTAAAATCTTACGATACGTCGCGAAAAATGTGTTATATTTTATATTTCAATTTATGGTAAGTAACGCAGCAATTCATTTAATAACAGTTTCATATTAAAAAAATATACTGGTCATCAAAAAAATCGACCCACCCATTTTTTGTTTGAAATTTATCGATTGTTTCACTTAAAAGCTGTTTCACACATTTGTTTTTTTATTTTGAGGGTCGGATATGATGTTTGACAACTTGTTTGTCGTAAATCTTATTGCACTTGAAGGTACTTTACAATTTTTTATACAGAAATACTGTTGAGTGCTGATTTCGTTGTTTTACGTCAGAACAAATTCGAACCGTTATTTCAGTCCGACACAGACTTTTGTAGGGATTTCTCGTTAATAACGTTAAGTTTATTTACTGAGGCTGTAGCTTTGATTACTTTGTCTAAAAATAATGGACACTACTGAAGCTGAGGTGGCCCAAGTTGTGGCTTTGCTGCAACAAGGCTTAAGTCAACGTATCGTGGCCAGGAGGTCAAATCTGAGCCGTTCTGCAGTGCGACGAGTTTACCAAAGGTTTCTGGAAACTGGGCAGTATAGAAGAAGATCTGGATCTGGAAGACATAGGGTGACAACTCAAAGGGATGACCGATTTATAGTGTTATCAGCTCTACGAAATCGGCACCTATCTGGTGTTGATCTCCAGCGACGCTTACGTGAAGATTGAGGTGTAGCTATAAGTGATAGTACTGTGAGAAGGAGACTTCGTGAGCAGAATTTAAGACCTCACAAGCCAGCAACAAGACCACAATTGACCACAGCTCATCGACAAGCCAGACTTCAATTTGCGCGTAAGCACATCAACTGGACTATATGCCAATGGGAGTCAGTTCTTTTTAGTGATGACAGTCGAATGACTTTATACGGTTCTGACGGACGCCGTAATGTCATGCGACGACCAGGTGAACGTTATACCCAGTGTTGCATAAGAGAAACTGTCAGTTATGGTGGAGGCTCTGTAATCTTTTAGGCTGGGATATCTTTGACTGGACCCACTGAACTGGTTTTCATACGAAGAGGTGCTTTAACTGCAGCACGCTACATCACAGAGATCTTAGAAGACCATGTGGTGCCATACGCCGGCTATATTGTAGAGACCTTTGAATTAATGCATGATAATGCACGACCACACGTAGCGCACATCACAACAACCGAATACCTTGAAGAGGTCGGCATTCGGGTTATGTCGTAGCCACCAAGAAGCCCTGATCTCAACCCTATAGAGCACATGTGGGACACCCTAAAACAAAAGGTTAGAGCCCGTAATGCAGTCCCTACAACATTAGGAGACCTTGAAACCGCCACTAGGGAAGAATGGAACCGAATCCCTCAAGAGACCATCAAAATCTTGATAAGGTCATTAGAACGAATGAGGCTGTCATTCGAGTAAGAGGAGGGAATACGCAATATTAAATTGCAACAATTGTGTACATAAAATTCAATACATAAAAACTAGAGCGCATTGAAAATTAATAAAAATAATCGTGAAAAATTAAAGATTTTGGTTTTTAAATGAAAATTACTTTCAAAAATCATTTTGATGTTGTAACTGTGATTAAATTGGTGTAAATAAACAAGTTAAATAAAACATTTCAGTACTTAATCGTTTTGATTGGTTCTGCTTTAGAAAAACGTGATTTGCGGCAAAAACGCAGGCACGATTTTTTTGATGGCTAGTGTATTTGAAGCAATATAATCACCATATTGAGCTTTTGCAAATTCATCCCTTTAAAATAAACAAAACGTCACGTCAGTTCGTTCTAAAAGAAACGTGACAATGGCAGCCAGAGATGCGTCACTTTTTTTGGGCCGGCCCGCATGCACCGAATAAAAATAAAGTTCTTATATAATATTGAAAATAAAGTTTTATCTTTTGAATAAGTACGTACTTATTCGATGACGTTATCACTCGAATCTTTATATGTGTTATAAATTAATGCTTTTTGTTGTTAAATGAATAAAGTACTTTATAACAATAGATGATTTTTCTTCTACAGCGATCTTTACATAACTTTTTAATAATAGTTAATAAATATATATTATATCAATCATTATAAAAAAAATCATTAGAAATAAAGAAAGTACTACATATAAAAAGTGCCAATATATTGAAGGTTTGTAGCCCCTGGTTAAACGACCGAAAGGTCAATATCCGTTTTTCTCAATCGATTTGGCACGAACTATAGTACGTAGTACATAATAGTTCAATTGTGTACAATGAACTTACAATCCACCTGATGGTAAGTAGCTAATGCATTCCATGACAACTGCAGCCAACTTCAAAGACAGAAAGCTATCAAATATATTGAAGGTTTGTAGCCCCTGGTTAAACGACCGAAAGGTCAATATCCGTTTTTCTCAATCGATTTGGCACGAATTATAGTACGCGTACATAATACTTCAATGGTGTCCAATGAACTTACAATCCACCTGATGGTAAGTAGCTAATGCAGTCCATGACAACTGCAGCCAACTTCAAAGACAGAAAGCTATCAAACCAAAGAATGGCTCCTAGTCTATAATTATACGGGCTCTCATACCCTGACCACAGCACAGCAATGCGGGTACTGTTTTTTATCTGCAGATTAATATATAATAGGATGGTACCTACCTGGACGGACTCTTAGATTCTTGCAAATAAGTTGCCTAGACTAGATTGTAGTACAAGTCGTTTTACCTTAGATAATAGTTTTCAAGGTGATTTTAAAATTATAAAAACGGTTGTCCATATTCAACTGAAGTTATGATATGAATGTTCTTTTGGAACTAGAAACTAATCCACTGCGCAGAAAATAAATGACTGCAAGAGAACTCATTAAAATGGCGACACTTGCTCGTTAAAACTATCGATGTAATACATCTACAATATCGAAGACGAAGTTAAACAATTCTTCAAATGTTACTGATATACGGGAACAATTATCTCTTTCATATAAAACGTCTTATAAAAGACATAGGTGGCGACGAGAAGTAGCACCAATTTTCCAATACATTTAGGGCACTGCAGCCGCCAAATCGCTTACCAAACGTGAGGATTACGAATTTCCCTACTACGAAAAAGGCCTATGTACATCAGTAGACTATTTCAATAGGCTAATAATGAGACAGAAACAACTAACCGGCGAATCATCGTTAGGTGTAAAAGGGACCGGTGTTGGCACGAGGGCGAAGGCCATGTGCGGACATCCCAACTGCCCTCTAGCGCCATAACCGCAAGCTAGTATGCGATCTCCCACGCGACAGAGTACATGACGACGACCGCAAGCAACTTGCGTCACTGTGCTGCCCATTAACTCCATTATCTGCAATACGATTTTCACACTAAAAGTTGGTTATAGATATGTAACAATTGTGCAAAAAACAACTATTTAACATACTAAAACATTAATAACATTTCAATTGCCTAAATTGACAGTGTACAAAAAACAATTAATGTTAAGAATATCTAATGATTATAAGACATATTATTGAATAAAACTATATTTACGGCTTTTATCGCAATTAATTAGCTATTTAACTCATTTTTAATTCCCGACGTTTCGGGTGCTTTACAGCAGCCATGGTCACGGGCGGGACTATCGTTGGGAATATAATTTAAAATATAAATTTCTTTGCAACCTTCCGCTAAATAAATACAATGATGTGTTACCTTACCTGGATTGAAGAGCACCTCCCGCCCTCCCTCAATTGCATGCACTAACTCCGTCACTTCTAGTCCCAGCACCACTACTCTCAACACCACTATTCCAGGTAAGACACACCATCGACGATAATACGACACGTGTTTCGCCTCTACACGAGGCATCTTCAGGTAATGTAGACTCTACGGCGGCTGACCGCTAAACGGCACTTAATTTATATTTTTATTTTTTATTATAATGGATTTCCGCAAAGTAACGCCTGATTCTATCAATTAAGTTAAAATAGTTAATTAAACGCATTAAAATCCGTAAATATAGTTTTATTCAATGTGTAGTGTTCGTGTAAATTTAAGAAATCATTAAACCATATTTTATGTTGATTAAATGCGCAAGAAAAAAAAAGTTATTTTTACGTTATATATTTATGCGTTTTGTACTTCACTACAACAAATTTCCACAAAGTTAAAAGGTTCAGCCGCGTAGTGGCGGCGTAAGAGAATTCACTACCCCATGTGGGTGTCGTAAAAAGTGACAGGGGATTATGAAACAGGAGACGGCATACGTCTGAAAACAACTCAAAAGAAACAGCAGGGCCAACCTCACTGCAACTATGGCGATAATACTTTCCTATGAAGAAGTCTATGCAGCGGGCCTAAGTTCAGCAGTGGGATCATTTTAGGCTTTAAGTGAATGAATGCTAAATGGAAACACTATGGTACTTTAAAACCTACTTAAACAATGGTACTTACCTATAAAAAAACTTTAAAACTTTAGCAGTGATAATATGTCCACTCGGACTAAATAGCATCTTTAATAAAGATTAGCCAGAGAGATAACTTAAAATAAATACCTTTTTGGGAACTAATTCATCTTTAGTAGTTCCATGGCCAGTTTGTCCATACTCCCCAGAGCCACAAGTGAATACACCACCATCCAGTGTTAGAAATGCTGTGAAATCTTCGCCACAAGATATGTGGCATACCTGTAAAATTTCAGACTTTTTATGTCAAAGAAAATGGAGGAAAGAGTTGCAATGAATGGACGTATTTTATAAGCACCTCTATAATATCAATAAGTTAATCTATACAAATAAATAAAATTTAAGTGTCTGTTTGTAACATAAAATACTATAATTACATACATAATAGAACGGGGGAGTGGGCGGAGCCCGTGTAGCCACTAAAATGTCACTAACACGTCAATTCACACGCATAAATGTCAACACAAGATGTGTTTTGACATTACAATCGTTTCCAAATTTCGCATGAAAATTATTTAGAAAATGCCAAATCGCACGCTATTTACAAATAAATATGTATTAAAATCTGTCTGTCAACACAGCCAATCGGGTTGGTAGTAGTCGTAATACTACGTAATTGCTTGTATGTGTGCTCCCGGCGACGCCTATCCTCGTACAAAATAAGTTTGACAGCCATTCTATTGTGTATTATAGTATTCTATGGTTTGTTACGTCATAAAAAAAGCTTTTCACCAAATACAAATGAAATTATATACAGTATGTACTTATAATAATAACAAAAAACAATTTTTAATTTTTTTGTGTCTGTCTGTTTGTACCTACGGGCTATTCACGGAAATGGCTGAACCGATTTTAATAGGACATTCACTGGCAGATAACTGATGACAGTTTACTTAAATATAAATACATATAACATCTAATAATGAAAAAACTATCGAAAATGTATGCTTGAGATTTCTTTTTATAGATTGAAAATTATCTATAATAAATACACATGACTGCGCACATACTAAGTCTATACTGGATGACCTTTTTTACCGTCTGGAAAATAATAGGGTATAACATATGAACGGAGTAGAAGCCTATGACACTAATATTTTACAAAAAATAATTAAAAAAAAATTTGAATTAAATAAATTCATTAATTAAAATAATATATATATATATATATATATATATATATATATATATATATATAATAAAACTTATAAGAACATATAAGAAAAATCTGTATTAGGAACACTTTTTCATCAATACACAGTGATGTTCTCTTACTTCCCATGTTTACAGTTTGAAAGTCTGTAAGCAACTAATAATATGATAACGTATAGATAATCCATGACTTCCTACTAACAACAGTCTACACGTGCAATCAATCCCCCTTTGTAAACAAAACAACGGATTCCTTAGAGTTTGGTATGTATGATGCCGACAGTCGAGTTCATTACTTGCTAGGATAATAAAGTGCAGCTGTGCAGTTTTTATTACCTTTTGCAACTAAAGAGTACTTTTTATTATTTAATTGTTGCCACTAAGTGACACTAAAGTAAGGTGTACGGATTGCAGTACAGTTCATATGAACATAGTGAGTGGTCGTTATTCGGAATCTAGTGCGTGAAACCAAAGCCCAGTGAGTTCGACGCTTAAGGGAATTTGTCGTTAAATCAAGTGACGTTACATGGAGTTTACACTGTAACTGTTATATGTATACACATATAACACATTAATATTGTATATAATGTTTAAAGCAAAGCCTAGGTATTAACCTAAAATAATATTCAATATTTACGATAATTCGTTTTAATATGAATGTACAAGTGACTGCAATTAATAATAAAATTTATGTATAAATTTGATAAAGTCAGACTTATCAGAAACCAAAGGCACTTCCTATTTATACCACATGGTTAGGTGCCATTGTTACAGAAAATACTAGCGTGCTTGCTATTTTTTGAACATATTAACAGTGATTTAAGAAATTAAATGTGATTACGTGAGTTATGAAATATAATGAAATAATGGATGAATGTAGAGATAATTTACTCATTCACTCCTACCAAACTATCCCGTATTTGTATTTAAAGCAAGTCTGTTTGACGGTCTTAGCCTTGAACGAAGGCAGAAATTTTATTTATATGTAAAATTTTATTACTAATAAATCAATCAGAATATTATTATTAATAAATCATATTAACCTGTGGACACTTTGTTGTTGCTGCTGGATACAATAACATCCCGCATTAGGGAATATATTTTTTATAGAATAGGGGTGACGAATGAGCTGGACAATGTCAGCTAATGGCAAGTAAAGGCTGTAGCCCAAAGATATCTACGTCTATTCTCGATTGACTCAAATACAAATGTGTTGTCACTTCTAAGGACTAAGGTGGACTGCCTAGATTCTAGTGAAAAGTCTCCGGTTCTCTACACTCACCATATAAAACACAGCAGCTATAAACTGCTATTTTATGACAAAAGAATCTTTATTTTCTTAAAAGAAATACCTTTTTCCACTTTTATTAAATTTTACACTGGTATTATGTGAGTGGTCTTTCCCCGGTTGAGGGGACTGATTCGTGCTGCAAATCACAACACAGTTGCAGTGTGACTCTATCACGTAAAAATATGTAACATAATCGTTATGCCTGCCATTTTTCTTAGCGATTATGTTAGCATCTATAATGTTTCATATCACACTATTTTTATATTTAGTATAAGACCCGTGGAAGAGGGTCTTTTTATGTGAACTCAAAAAGTGCACCGCCCCGACGGATCGACACAAATGAGATTGACTTCATTATGACGATAAGACGGCAACTGTTCAGTGATGTCTCTGTGATCGCAAGGGTGAAAACTGCAGCGATCACCGAATGGTTGGAGGCAAACTGAACCTAAACGTTAAGTTGGAGAGATCTCGTCTAATGAAGTCAACGCTTCGTCCCCATCGTGCTCTAATCCAAAGTCCCGAAACCTTTCAGCTCGTGTTAAAAAACCGTTTTTAGTACCTAGAAGACTGCAATGCAGTGGACTACATAAATGACAAGCTCGTAGAAACTGTCCATGCGTCGGAGCTAAATTCTGCAAGACCCGCCGCAGAAAAACACAAAAACTCTCCGATCACACTCTTAAGACGGGAAATGAAGCTGCAGTCTTCAACACATTTGACAGCATACAGGCAACTGAACAGATAGATCTTGAAATACATGCGGCAGGGCTTACGCAACTTTAATACTGCTCGTATTGAAAAAGTGATTGAGCGGGAATAGGGCTGTAAAGTTTTTGCAGAGATCTGTCTGCCATAAAAAGGCAACTGTCAAAGCTGAATACTGAGTGACAACATTGATTCCATGGCACGAGATATTTTGAGTGAGATTGAGAGGTTCTATGGGCAGGTACACATCATCGTTGGAACCACACGCAAGTGTGAATAACGATCCAAGAGCAAGTCTTATCCGACACGATTAAATTCCAAGCTCTTCAATTTCGTCTTCCATGGTAGCTCTACTCGGGAGGCGTGGAGCAGAAGTGCAGTGGTGGTTTGGAAAGTTAAAAGGCTTTACACATCGCAGATTGTACAGAAGACCGAAGAGTACAATCTGCCACTTTGCCTTTCGTATGTGGACTATGAAAAAGCTTTTGATTCCGTCGAAATTTGGGCGGATCTACAGTCCCTTCAGCGGTGCCAAGTTGACTGTCGGTATATCGAAGTGCTGAAGTATTTGTACAGTAGGGCTACGATGGCTATACAAGTACAGAAGCAGAGTACGAAACCTATCCAACTGCAGACAGGTGTAAGACAGGGTGACGTTATATCCGCGAAACTCTTCACCACTACATTGAAAGTGGTTTCCAAGCTACTGAACTGGAAAGGATAAGGTATCAACATCAATGGCGAGTACATCACTCACCTTCGATTTGCCGACGATATAGTCCTTATGGAAAAATCGCTGGAGGACCTAATCACTATGCTCAAAGACCCCAATAGTGTCTCCCAACGGATTGGTCTTAAGATGAACATGGACAAAATAAAGATCATTTTCATGTCCATGTCATACCTATGCCGGTAGTTGTTGGGAGCACTAAGCTCGAAGTTGTTGACGATTATGTTTACCTGGGACAAATAGTTCGACTAGGTCCAACATCGACCGAGAGGTCAATCGACGGATTCAAGTCGGCTGGGCAGCGTTCGGGAAATTACGACAAATCTTCTCGTCAGGTATACCTCAAAACCTGAAAAGATGGTACAACTAGTGTGTGTTACCAGTGATGACTTACGGATCTGAGATGTGGTCCTTCACTGCTGGCCGTATGAGGACGGTCAAGGTCGCTCAGCGAGCTATGGAGAGGGCTATGCTTGGGGTTTCTCTGCGTATTAAACTCAGAAATGAATGTACCGGTAAGTAAAGTATAAGGCGGCCTTACACTAGATGGAGTGACGACCTGGTACCCTGGCATACATGCGGGAAGTGGATAGATGCAGCTGGCTCAGGATCGTGCTTTGCCTATGTTTAGCAGTGGACTTGTGAGGGGATGAATTGATGATGTAAAAAGAGTCAATTTATTAACTTAATGTGAAAATACACTAATCAATAAATAAACGTAAAATAACTGGATTATGGTTGAAATATCACATAGCTTAAATAGTTTTTGCTAAAGTAATGATGTTTTTTTTTTAATGTAAAGAACAAAAGCTTAAATGTGTACCTTGACATTTCTTAATGTTTTCAAATGAGTAGGATAACACCTGTTTTCTCTATCCTGCAAGCCTAATTGTCCATGCATATTTTTACCCCACCCAAACACTGCACCTGATCTGTAATAAAAACTAAGATAAGGGCTGTGCAAAGGACAAATATTTATTGACTTATGCATGTTCAGACAATGCATCGAAATTCATAATATTAACACATTTTGCTTAGTAAAGTGCGAGGGCAAGTCGCTTAGTTGTACTTGCTTCAGTCTTTGTTAGAGCGCGACCCGTATGTTCTCAACTACGTCTTCGGTGCCTACACACTGCATGCGTGTTCTCCCACTGTGAATAGCCTGATGGCAACCCGGTAGTACCCAGATTATCCTTGTTTGTCAACATCTTGTCTTATATGTACTGGTAGTACAAAAGGCACGAGCAAGTGATCAACTATGTTTGAACACAAATACCAATGATTAGTGCTTGTGAAAGTATATTGTTTGCAAAAAGCATCTCGATAAATTCTTATACCAGCCTTAAATTTATATATTACTAAGCATACAACATAAAATATTTATTAATTATTATGGGATTCTATTGATTAAAATCTACTTTTTATTAAAGAAATTAAAATACACTTTCTTTAAATAAATTGTTTTGTATCACAAAATTTATTGTCAGTGACTGCTACACCATTAATCAAATTTCATATCTTTGAAGTGCATACAATGGATTTAACTTTCAATCAAAAATCATTTTTTACTTTAAAACTTATTTTACGTAATTCTTTGCGTTTAAATTTAACATTTGGGTTTCTTGCTGGTTCTTCCCAGGCAGAGGTTTTTTTTTCTAAACCAGTGGTAAAAGTAAAAAATTACTATCAATAAGAATTAGGTACATGTAATCAATATTGAATAAAAATAATTGCATTCTATTATAACTTATTTTTTATTCTTGGCCTTGGATATCACCTATGTATCATCAGGGAATTGAAAATGGCTTAAAATAAAACCCAGTAAAATCCGTATTCATTTAATTCCATATTTAATATTTTTCTATTTATCTGCAAAATTTTAGGAAACCATTCTTCCCTACTGTTAAAGATTATTTTGTTTCAGTAAAATTTAAAAAGATGTTCACAGCCTACCTACTTGTAACAAGATCTAATGGCCATTACCAAAAATAAGATGAAAAGCCTTGGTATCATAAAATGTATGGATCTTATCACATTTTAACTTCTTTAATTTCAGACTTTTACGTGCTTTATCATGGTCAAGGGAGGCGACGGCATGACCTCGTTACCATTTTTCTGGTCGGAATCCTTTTTGCATTCTTTGTTTAGTAACTTAGTTCTTTTAGGTGTGTATTGAAAAAACACATTGACGTCGAACAAGTGTAGTTTTGTTATAACCTTACCACCGAATATCATTGTACATATGATACTTGGCGCCGGACTGACTGGTTCCTTCGCGATCACGCCTGCACATGCACACATCGGTTCATATTTAAAATGTAATTAACGCATCGACGATGCGTCTGCGAGTGTAGAGCATGACAACACATAGGATCAAAGTGTTTGACGTGAATATGTGCTGCGCACGACGCGTCGCCATCCCCACTTAACGTAATGAATTTTTTGACCCTTCAGCTATCAAATGGTCTAATTAAATTTTGAATGTAGATGAAAGATATGTAGCTACAACACTGAACTGTATCCCGATTCTGCTAACTTCAGTTTTCTGAATTGCCTTCCAATATAGAAGCAAATTTAAAGACGTATTCAAGGTGTAGTGTGGCGAAAAAAGACTGATTAGTAAGCTGAAGTAGCAATGGGCTAGTAGAACCTACAAGCTATTGAGAAGAAAGATTCTTAAGTAGTAGTTTAGTTAAGTTTCTGTAGACAAAGTGTGTAAAAAATTAGACGGAGTGATGACCTGGTAAGATATGCAGGAAGTTGATGAATCTCTTGATGGTGGTTGATAGGTCTCTGATTCTCTACACTCATTATACGAAAGCTGCTATTTTGCACTTGTATTAGTCAAATGCCATTGACACCATATTATACACAAAATAATAATATATAATGGCTATTATGATTAAAGAATTTCATTCTTTTAACAAAAGGATCAAAACAGGTGTAACAATATAACTGTATACCTAATCTACTTGTATCAGTTTCACATGAGGGAAAATTAATTTTCCCTCACACAATATCTATAAAATAACCCTATATATTGGCCCTATGCTTTGATTTTTCTCCTTAATTTTAAAAAATATAGTAGCAATATAATTACTAGGTACATACAATTACAATTATAAAAAAATATTACTTACTTAGATAGAACAAATGTGTGGTTACTGCCACAAGCCACCAATGAAATGGGTACACCAAGTAAGGATGTAATCTGTTGTGGTGTGGTTTCCTTGTTTGTCATATTGCCCAAGCCACACTGCCCAAAACTATTTGCTCCCCAAGAATAGAGGTCACCATCTAATATATTACATAATATGTATATTATGTAAGTAGAATATGTAACTCAAATAATACTAATAATAAATGGTTAAATACAAACATTTTAGACATTTAAGAAAGTTGAAGTGCAACAACACAGATAAAATACTGATTGATACATTTTCTGTATTCCCTGTTTTGAATTGTTGTGGAATATAACATATTATGTGAAGTGGAATTAATCACATGTCACTGTATTCATAATACATATAAAAAATATAGTCAACTTCCACACCAATGGTTTCATATATTAAATAAAAGATTATCTTAAGCTATTGCCATGTGATGGTAGGTCAGTAGCACAACTAATATTCAAACAAAATTCTTGGAATTATAATATACTTACTGTTTGTCAATGCAATTGAGTGATATGATCCACATGCAATCTGTATAACATTTCTGGTCGCCAAGAATTTGATAATCTTTGGTTTATCTTGGGCATGGGCACCAAGATTGCTACCTAATTGTCCCATACTATCAGATCCCCAACTGAAAGGTTGTCCCCATTCATCTAGGGCCATTGAATGTTGGATACCACATGCTACTGTTGATACTGCACAACCTTTGAAAGTTTCTACTAAATCTAAAATCATTACAAACAAATATAGTTTATTCATTGTATGAAAGATTAAAAGGATATATTCATTTTAAGCATACTTTTCTTTTTAAAGAATAAGGGTGACGAACAAGCACACAGTCCACCTGATGGTAAGTGGATGCTGTGGCCCGTAGACACTTATATCTAACCTCCATTAAGAACCAAAATGTAGATGCATTGTCACCCCTGAAGACTCGGATAGTTTACTTTGTTACAGGTAAAAAATATTCTCTGGTTCTCTACACTCACTTTAGTCTAAGCTATTATTAAGCTACTACTTCACTGGTATTCTGTAAGAGTGTGGTTTTTCTTAGTTGAGCAAACCCATTTGTTCCATCGAAACTATGTTACATCTACTTAAAGTTTATTATTGTACTGATTAGGTTATTATTATAATAATACATTGATTAGTTGTCAAAATATTAAGGATACATATAAGAGAAAACAGATAAAAAATCAAGGCCAAACATGTGTTATTACATTTAGTTTGTAAGGGGCTACACCAACATTGTCTCTAAATAAGCCTGATCTAGGTTCAGTGTACTCTGTTGATTAACAGACAAGAAATTAAATAGTCAACTGATGACCAAAACCAATAGAGAGAAGCATTACCACTGCAAGATTATCTGTTCTGAGCTCTTCAAGAGTATGGGTACATCTAACAAGTAAACAAACCTTCTGTCTACCTGGCTCATTTTTGAAAAGGCAATTCAATACAAACAACAAATTACCTATTATGTTCTAACAATAGTTATATAAGGCCGTCACCATCATTTAAATAATGGCAAGTAGTCACTTTAATTGCCTGCTAGGTACTATAGAAATTGTTTACTGTATTTTAAGTGCATTAAACATTCACCATCTTATTACAAAAAATAAATTACAGTAATTTTATATCACGGTCCCCTCGTTTTTTAGCTCTAGAAAATCGAAAAATTATCCATTTTGATAAAAAAATTTTAAATCTTCGTTCTTATGGCAGATTTATGAAAAAAATTAGGAAAACATCTCACCTGAAGATTTCATACAGTTTTATGACTTTAAATGTGATCATAAACGCACTTCTTCAAATATAATCGTTCAAAACTTTTTGCAAAGCATTAAACGAAGTTTATATATTTTTTTGTTAATCTACACAAAAATCGAACATTTAAAAAAAACATTGAAAAATGTTTATTATTTTTTTTCTCACTTTTCTCACAAGTTTTTATATGGTTTTCTGACTTTAAATGTTATCACATAACCACTCGAATTTCGGGGTCATCTTGGCCAATATGGCGCACCTGTCAAGCGTTTTCCGAAGTACTTAGTATATAACAAGTATACTAAGTATATATGTATATATATATATATATATATATATATATATATATATATATATATATACTTATAGTATATATATATATATATATATGTAATGTATATATATATATATATATATGTATGTATATATATATATATATATATATATATATATATATATATATATATGTATATATATATATACTATCAGATTATGCATACAGATATATATGTTATATATATATGTATGTTATATATATCATATATATATATATATAATTACCTATTATGTTCTAACAATATTATATTAGATATCATTTAATATTAAAGTAGTCACTTTTATTGCCTGAGGTACTATAGAATAATGTATTTTAAGTGCATTAAACATTCATCACATTACAAAATGAAAATAAAATAATATATTTTTCACTGTTTTTTTAAATCGAAAAATTATCATTTTTGATAATAAAAATTTATAAACTTTCGTTTGGCAGATTTATGAGATTTATGAAAAAATTAAACTGAAGATTTCATACAGTTTTATGATCTTTATATGTGATCATTTAAACGTTTCTTCAAATATAATCCGTTCATAACTTTTTGCAAAGCATTAAACGAAGTTTATATATTTTTTTGTTAATCTACACAAAAAATCGAACATTTAAAAAAAACATTGAAAAATGTTTATTATTTTTTTTCTCACTTTTGTCACAAGTTTTTATATGGTTTTCTGACTTTAAATATTATTACATAACCACTCGAATGTCGGGGTCATCTTGGCCAATATGGCGCATCTGTCGAGCACTTTCCGAAGTACTTAGTATATAACAAGTATACTAAGTATATATATATATATATATATATATATATATATATATATTATATTTTATTAGTATATATATATATATATATATATATATATATATATATATATATATATATATATATACTAAGTAAGAATATTTAAATCATATATCAATGTAAATGTTATTAAATAAGCTATCAGATTATGCATAACAGATATATATGTTATATATATATGTATGTTATATATATCATATATATGTTACAAATAGTTTGCTATCACTCGACGCCATATTATGGCGTTTGACAGATGTGCATATTATTTGAGACGCCAGAATATGGTGTTTGTACAGACGAGGGGATAACACTCTAGAAAATCGAAATAATTGTAAAAGTTAATATAGGGGTACCCCACATCCCAATGTAGCACTCAATATAACACCAAAATATTAACTTTTATAACTACTTTAATTTATAAACATAATTTATGGATGCCACCATTTGTAAGAAAGGATCTTTGCTATATTTAGCAGTATTCCACTGCCACAAATATACCATTATTCACTAAAATTCTGACTCGGAAGCAACTGAATGACGTAAAGTATGTCTGTCACTGTAAACAAAATGGACAGCCTAGCGATTAATTTTACACAATTTTAAATCCATTCGAATCAAAATTGGATGAATCGATTCCTAAAAATTCGAAGTCCTAAACATCGATTTCGCAAAAATCAATCTTTTTTTGATTTGGGTAAAGAGTTTATATTTACAATATCAAAAGATACAATAAAGTACAGATAACATTGAATGATTGAATTGAAAAACTGTCATTCTTTATGAGTTGGGGTACATTTAACTAATTGTAGATAATTTTATAGTTCTTAATAAAACAGAAAAAGATTTGGTCTCGATTCGTTAGGGTGAAATATCAATTCACTAGATTGATTCAATACTGTATATCAATATGACATTGGCAGATACAATGTCAAAAAGGTGAGAATATTTAATCAGTCATTTGCCAAAATATTTAAATAATAATTAAAAATACTTCGACGCTGCTCCGGCAGCAAAAATCTCAAAAACCCCCTTGACGCCACACAGTGACAGAATCTTCAAATTCGTGTGGCTTAATTGTAAACCCAACCCAAACATTGTTTAATGCTTTGCAAAAAATTTATGAACAATTATATTCGAAGAAGTGCATTTATGATTACATTTAAAGTCATAAAACTGTGAGATATTTTCCATATCTTTTTGATAAATCCACCATAAAAACGAATATTTAAAAAAAATCATCAAAATTGGATTAAATTGAAATTAAATGAAAAATGAAATTACCTAAATTATATTTAGTCTCAACTAGAGTTGGTTTCAACTCCCAAGAGCCGTGGTAGCTCAGTGGTTAACGCTCGCTGTAAATATAACAGAACGCGAGTAACCCGGGTTCGATCCCCGCCGGCACCAATGAAATTGTTAATTGCAATTTTAAGTGCTGATTAACCACGTGCTCGGCGGTGAAGGAAAACATCGTGAGGAAACCTGCATGTCTGAGGAATAAGAAAAAAAATATTTCGAAGACATGTGAAGTTCGTCAACACGCATTTGGGCAGCGCGGGACACTTCCTCGCCCTAAACCCTCTCAGAAATGAGGGGAGGCCTGAGCCCAGCAGTGGGACGTATATAGGCTGTAACTTTACTTTTTTACTTTAGAGTTGGTTTCAATAAAGAACTCTAATGGAAAATATTAAAATTAAAGTTTAAATTTTAAACAAAGTGTAGGAAGGCCCCCGACTGGATGTAGAGATGACCTAATAAGAGATGCAGATTCTCAAAAAATGGATTGAACCCTATTTTATAACATAATAAGTCCCACTAACTTACTAGAGCAATCGTAGTTATCTTTTCAATAGTAAGAGACAGATGCTGATTAATGTTAAATACAGGTCTTTAACACATCATCAGTATTTTACACTTTAATATAAACATATTAAATATTAAACATAATTTAAATATTAGATAATTATATGCACAATAATTAACAGCAAAAATTCAAACAAGATGTTAAGTTTACCAGACAGTACACTTAACACCTAATAAAAATAAACCTGGAGATTCTCCATCAGAACTTTCTGTTTGACGCCCAAGTTGTCCCACATCATTGCTGCCACAAGAATATAAGTGACCATGATTTGTAAGGTACAAAGTATGGAATTCTCCAGCCGCTACAAGTTGCAGATGATTGCTCTCCTTCCACTTTGATAATGTTGGCTTTATAACCTACAAAATAAAATACACGAGATTAATGCATTTTAAATTAATAAAGGAAGATATGTAATGTTTATGCACTAGTTCTATTAATTTAAATTTCAACTATTAAAATGACATTTTTTCATTCTACATTACAAACTTTATTATCCCTGCTTACCAAATCTGCAGCTGTCCCTGGACCATTTAAACACAACTCATGATGAGTTGCGTTACCCCAACAAAACATCATTGTTTAATTTAATTTTTGTCACACGATGAATTTCACCAACTATAACCTAATCAAGCATAAAAGCATTAGTTATGCTGTAGTAAGAAAAATATGTGAAAGTTATTATCCTTGCAACAAAACTAACGGAAATATTTCTTTAACATTTTACTGCGTAATTTATATAAAGCAGTAAAAAGGAATCAACAATCGAGAACAATCTTCTTAATTTTCTGCAGACAAGAATTTGACAATTTGACAATTGACATTATAGTCAAGAAATACCTTTTGACACTTGTCAAACTTAATTCACCAAACATGCCAACCAAAAAATGGGTACGTACAATATTCGATTCTTGAAAAAATCGATATCGATTTTTTAGAGTTGATAATCATTTGCTGAATAATACCAGAATAAGTTAAAAACGGATAATTTAAAACACAAGATTTATCAGTTTGTTTGCAATTTTTGTTACCTGATGCATTTTACGCTGTATATCCTATACCTTTAAACGAGCAATTCTTATATATATATATATGTAATCGGAATCTCGAAAACGGCTCCAACGATTTTCATGAAATTTTGTGTCCAGGGAGTTAGTTGTCGGGGGCAATAAATCGATCTGTCTTCAGGCAATGAAAACTCCTACAATTAAGAAGGTAAATTTTGATACTGTGTTAATGATCGTAATGGCTCAAGTGGATAGCGAGCGGTCGCAAAATCGTAATGCCTTTGTTCGCGTCCCGTCTTAGGTCCGACTGTTTTTCCTTTTTTTTCAAGTTCCCTTCTTTTGTGAGAAAATCTATTATTTCCATCACTTTTATTTAGTATTTTATAAAAATACAAACATTTTAATTAAACTAATTGCACTCATGATTTTTATTCAAATAACCAGTTCAGTTTTTTCTTCTTCTTCAATAAGATCAAAAAATATTATTCATCAGTATGTAATTTGTATCTAAATGTAATTTCAAAAAAAAAACAAGTAAAGCTCGGTCATCCGGGTACTATATAATGAACGCAAAATCGATCAAGACCATTTCGGAGCAGTAAAACGAAATTCCGCAAGCACTAGATTTTTTAATGATGAACGCACGCTTGTTACAATCCGTACCGAAAGAACTAATTCGAATCTTAGAACAACCTTACTTCCTTTTTTAAAACAAACCTTGATATAACAAATTAATTGGTATAACGAATATTTTCCAATCCCCTTTAGATTTGTTATATCAAGGTTGTACTGTATATATCTTTTCTCTTTATATTTTTTAAGCTAAGTTATTTTTATTGAAGTAAATTGTTGATAGCAAGGAGCATCTTGTTTAGTTCATATAACGTAATATAAAAATATACTATATAAATAGGTTACTGTTGGATAAGCGCCTCATGTAACTTCACATTTCCCGTTCGCACTCGTTCATTTGTCAAATTATTGTACCTATCATATAAAATTTATTTCCCACATTTACAGTCTTTTACACATATAAACATAGATAAGATATGAAGAAGCGTCGATATTTATAGCGTTGGATTACGCCTCATTAGTATGTTTCTACTTCAGGCTCGGTAAACCAAGAGGAGCGTGCAAACCTGGCCATAATTGACCGCCTACTCTAAGCAGGCTTGGCTTTGCAAATATGTGCCACCCCACTTAACGTGGTTTCATTATGTTCTGTTGCGATCGGACAGTGGTTCAGGGAACAGTGGTGGAGCTAGCTCTTGGAGTTAGATTAAGAAAAGGCCTAGCTCACTCCACGCTTTAGGCATGAAAATATACATATGTGCTGTGCGGCCCCCTACAGGGGGCTCATTCCGTGAGTTTGACACGAGCGCACTCGAGTTGACTCGAGAACTATGATATTTATTTTTGAGTTTTTAATCAATCTCAAAAAGCCAAAAAGTACTACATAGCATACGGTTGCTTAAATAACAATAGGAATGTCGACCTTTCATTCTTTACTATTCCTAAGGATACCGAAAGGTAAGATATTATGATTTGCCGTGTAGTGGCGGTTGAGAATATCCACTACCCCATATATTCCCGTGGGTGTCGTAAGAGGCGACAGAGGGAGACAGGTAGGAGATGGGCAGCAGCATCTTCCTAATATCAACAATAATATAATAAAAACTGCGGTTACCAACCAGCTCGCCAAGCGTGGCAACTATGGCAAATATCCCCCCATGAGTAACGACACAAACAAACGGCGCCAAGTTCCCGGCGGCCCCGCTATTCCTAGCTACGGTGGTAACCATGGTAACAAGGGGGTGCTAAGAATCTCCGGTGGAGGTTCGGTTGCCACCTAAGACGACTCGACCTCACAACTTATAACGCATGCACCCTGAGGACTGACGAGAAGATACTGGAGTTGGAAGAAGAGGTAGACAAGTTGCGCTGGCATATTATTGGATTATCCGAGGTCCAATAAGAGGGGGAGGACACTGTAATCCTCGAGTCGGGTAACTTGTTCTATCACCGGGAGGGCGACCATCTGTCCCAAGGAGGTATCCGATTTATCGTCCACAAGTCTCTCGTCAACAACGTTGTAAAGATTGGGAGTGTGTCGACGAGGGTCGCGTACCTGATACTCAGAATCACCAAGCGGTATTCGCTGAAGGTCATACAGGTTTACGCACTAACCTCGGCACATCCTGATGAGGAGGTGGAGGAAATGTGTGAGGATATTTCTAGAGCCACGCATTCCTCCAAAACCCACTACACGGTGTTGATGGGAGACTTCAACGCAAAACTAGGCACAAGAGAAAGCGGTAAGCTGAAGTTAGGGAAATTTGGAGTAGGGCAACGGAACCGTAGGAGCCAGCTGCTGACCGACTTTATGGAGAAAGAGGAACTCTTTATGATGAACCCTTTCTTCCAGAAGCGGCCCCACAGAAAGTGGACCTGGCCTGGTGGTGGTGAAAAATGAGACTGACTTCATTATGATGACCAGACGCCAACTGTTCAGTGATGTCTCAGTGATCACAAGGGTGAAAACTGGCAGCGATCACCAAATGGTTAGAGGCACACTGAACCTAAACGTTATGTCAGAGAGGTCTCGTCTGATGAAGTCAACGCTCCGTCCCCCTTCGTGCTCTGATTCAGAATCCCGAAACCTTTCAGCTCGAGTTACGTAACCGCTATCAGTGCCTAGAAGATTGCAATGCAGTGGACGATATGAATGACAAGCTCATGAAAACTGTCCATGTGGTCAGAGGTTCTACAAGACCGGCCGCAAGAAGAATACAAAAACTCTCCGATCACACTATTAATCTCGTGGCTGTTAGACGGGAGATGAAGCTGCAATCGTCAACAGATTCGACAGCATACCGGCACCTGAACAGACAGATCTCCAAATGCATGCGGCGAGACTTACGCAATTGTAATACTGCTCGTATTAAAGAAGCGATTGAGCGGAACCAGGGCTCCCAAGTCTTTGCCAGAGATACTTCTGCCAGTAAGAGCCAACTGTCAAAGCTGAAGATTGAGTGTGGCAGCATCGTTTCCGGGACACGTGAGATTTTGAGTGAGATTGAGAGGTTCTATGGGCAGCTGTACACATCATCGTTGGAGCCACACGCAAGTGTGAGTAACGATCCAAAAGCAAGTCTTATCCGACACTATTCCGATGACATCCCAGACGTCAGTCCGAGCGAGATTAGAAGCTCCAGCACCTTAAAAACGGCAAGTTCCCGGGCAAGGATTGAATTACAGTGGACCTTCTGAAAGCGGGTGGAACACCGGTACTTGAAGTCCTTCAGAGGCTCTTTAATTCCGTCCTCTATGGTGGCACTACTCCGGAGGCGAGGAGCAGAAGTGCGGTGGTCTTGTTCTTCAAGAAAGGTGACAATGCCCTCTTGAAGAACTACGGACCGTTCCTTTCTGCGGTACGTGTGTTTTCGAGAGTCATTACGAATCGTCTCGCATGCAGACTCGAGGCCTCCCGAACAAGCCAGTTTCCGAAAAGGCTTTAGTACCATAGACCACATACATACCCTTCGGCAAATTGTACAGAAGTCCGAAGAGTACAATCTACCACTTTGCCTAGCGTATGTGGAATATGAGAAAGCCTTTGATTCCGTCGAAATTTGGGCGGTGCTACAGTCTCTTCAGCGGTGCCAAGTTGACTGTCGGTATATCGAAGTGCTGAAGTGTTTGTACAGTGGGGCTACTATGGCTATCCGAGTACAGAACCAGAGTACGAAACCTATCCAACTGCAGGGAGGTGTAAGACTGGGTGACGTTATTTCCCCCGAAATTCTTCACTGCTGCATTGGAAGACGTTTTCAAGCTACTGAACTGAAAAGGATAAGGTATTAACATCAATGGCGAGTACATCACTCATCTTCGATTTGCCGACGATATAGTCCTTATGGCAGAATCGCTGGAGGACTTAAGCACTATGCTCAATGACCTCAATAGTGCCTCCCAGCGGATAGGTCTTAAGATGAACGTGGACGAAACAAAGATCATGTTCAATGTCTATGTCACACCTATGCCGGTAGTTGTTGGGAGCACTATGCTCGAAGTTGTGGACGAGTACGTTTACCTGGGACAAATAGTCCGACTAGGTAAGTCCAACTTCGACCTAGAGGTCAATCGACGGATTCAACTCGGCTGGGCAGCGTTCGGGAAATTACGACACATCTTCTCGTCAGGTATACCTCAAAACCTGAAAACTAAGTTGTACAACCAGTGCGTGTTGCCAGTGATGACCTACGGAACCGAGACGTGGTCCGTCATTGCTAGCCGTATGAGGACGCTCAAAGTCGCTCAGCGAGCTATGGAGAGGGCTATTCTCGGAGTTTCTCTGCGTGATAAACTTAGAAATGAGGATATCCGCAGTGGAACCAGAGTGACCGACATAGCCCAACGGATTAGTAAGCTGAAGTGGCAATGGGCCGGCCATATAGCTCGAAGAACCGATAACCGATGGGGAAGAAAAGTTCTCGAGTGGCAGCGTCGTACCGGTAGGCGTAGTGTAGGGCGACCCCCCACTAGATGGAGTGACGACCTGGTAAGACATGCAGGAAGTCGATGGATGCAGGTGTCTCAGGACCGTGCTTTGTGGCATTACTTGGGGAGGCCTACGTTCAGCAGTGGAGCCATAGCCATCGTAGCCCTACTGTACATACACTTCAGCACTTCAATATACCGACAGTCAACTAGGCACCGCTGAGGAGACTGTAGCACCGCCCAAATTTCGACGGAATCAAAGGCTTTCTCATAGTCCACATACGACAGGCAAAGTTGCAGATTGTACTCTTCGGACTTCTGTACAATTTGCCGAAAGGGTATGTATGTGGTCTATGGTACTGAAGCCTTTTCGGAAACCGGCTTGTTCGGGAGGCTGGAAGTCGTCGAGTCTGCGTGCGAGACGATTCGTAATGACTCTCGAAAACAGCACGTAGACGCGGCTCAGCAGGGAAATAGGTCTGTAGTTCTTCAAGAGAGCGTTGTGTTTCTTAAAGAAAAGAAGCCTCTGGTACCGGGGAGTGAAGGCTTCTGAAGGACTTCAAGTACCGGTGTTCCACCCGCTTTCAGAAGCTCCGCTGTAATTCCATACTCGCCCAGGGCCTTGCCGTTTTTAAGGTGGTGGAGAGCCATTCTAATCTCGCTCAGACTGACGTCCGGGATATCATCGGAATAGTGTCGGATAAGACTTGCTCTTGGATCGTTACTCACACTTGCGTGTGGCTCCAACGATGATGTGTACAGCTGCCCATAGAAACTCCTCCCAATCTCACTCAGAATCTCAGGTGTCCCGGAAACGATGTTGCCACACTCAGTCTTCAGCCTTGACAGTTGGCTCCTTCTGGCAGACAGATCTCTGGCAAAGACTTTGGAGCCCTGGTTCCGCTCGATCGCTTCTTTAATACGAGCAGTATTAAAGTTGCGTATGTCTCGCCGCATGCATTTGGAGATCTGTCTGTTCAGCTGCCTGTATGCTGTCAAATCTGTTGACGATTGCAGCCTCATCTCCCGTCTAACAGCCATGAGATTTAGAGTGTGATCTGAGAGTTTTTGTGTTCTTCTGCGGCGGGTCTTGCAGAACTTAGCTCCGACCGCATGGACAGTTTCCACGAGCTTGTCATTCATATCGTCCACTGCATTGCAATCCTCTAGGCACTTAAAGCGGTTTTGTAACTCGAGCTGAAAGGTTTCGGGTTTCTGGATTAGAGCACGAGGGGGACGGAGCGTTGACTTCATTAGACGAGACCTCTCCAACTTAACGTTTAGGTTCAGTGTGCCTCTAACCATTCGGTGATCGCTGCCAGTTTTCACCCTTGCGATCACTGAGACATCACTGAACAGTTGGCGTCTGGTCGTCATATTGAAGTCAATCTCATTTTTTGTCGAACCGTCGGGGCTCGACCAGGTCCACTTCCTGTGGGGCCGCTTCTGGTAAAAAGAGTTTATCATAAAGAGTCCCTCTTTCTCCATAAAGTCGGCCAGTTGCTGGCCCATTCGGTTCCGTTGCCCTACTCCAAATTTCCCCACCTTTGTCAGCTCACCGCTTTCTCTTTTGCCCAGTTTTGCGTTGAAGTCTCCCATCAACACCGTATAGTGGGCTTTGGAGGAATGCATGGCTCTGGAAATATCCTCATACTTTTCCTCCACCTCCTCATCGGGATGTGCCGAGGTTGGTGCGTAAACCTGTATGACCTTCAGCGAATACCGTTTGGTTGATTCTGAGTATCAGGTACGCGACCCTCGTCAACACACTCCCAATCTTTACAACGTTGTTGACGAGAGACTTGTGGACGATAAATCCGACACCTTCCTTGGGACAGATGGTCGCCCTCCCGGTGGTAGAACAAGTTGCCGGACTCGAGGATTGCCGTATCCTCCCCCTCTCTTCGGACCTCGGATAATCCAATAATATGCCAGCGCAACTTGTCTACCTCTTCTTCCAGCTCCAGTATCTTCTCGTCAGTCCTCAGGGTGCGTGCGTTATATGTTGCCAGGTCGAGACGTCGTAGGTGGCAACCGAACCTCCACCGGAGATTCTTAGCACCCCCTGCCCCGCCGTTACCATGGTCGCCACCGTATCCAGGAATAGCGGAAAATTGTATTATGACATTTTAATATGTAAAAAGTCAAAGATCGACATTATAACTACGCATCAAAGTCTCCACGAAAATGGAACGATATTTTTATATATCGTCGTTAAGTTTTAATAGCTGCTAAACAATATTCTGTATTTTATGTTTACTTAGTTAAAGAAATAAAAGATTTTGTATTAGTAATTGCTGTTTTGACTCAAGATGACATATGAGAATTTATTGTTAATAACTGTTTTGATGTTAATATATAAAGAAGTGTAATACACTGTTAGTAAGCTTATTAAATACGGTGTTTAATAATGTTATTGTTTTTTTTATTTCATTTAAAATATGTACTTAAATTCATGAAGAAACGTGTGGTTTTTTCTGGGACTAGTTGAACCTTTCTTTTTCCTTACATCATTCAATCATCTTTCAATAGATCTTGCTAATTTTTACAAATCTCATAATGTCTGTTTGCAAATATTATACAACAATATTTTTAAAAGCCCAAAAATAATTGTCAAAATTTCAATATTATATAACAGGTAGTCGCTAACACTTTCGATATCGATAGTACGCAAGATGATACAAATATATGCGTGGGCGACGGGACACAGGGAGACACTACGTGGGGATAGCGCGTCACCCATTGCTTATGAAATTTCTTCATATTGAACAATAATATGGTTATTATCACCAAACTTCTAATATATTGCATAACAACTCAGTGTATTCTACTACCAAATAATATCAAAGTATTTAATTTATTTTCTCACAACAGCTAACCCAACCGTAGGAGCGGCCTTAACAAAAGCGCGTAAAGGGCTATGTGATACAGACACTCGCACGCGGACGTAAAATTCATTTTGATTTTCGACGGGTTAATCGGTAGGCTAATTTCACGAAGGTCACTTCCGAGGCCTGCAAAGTATTATGAACATTAGCTTTGTTGTAACTAGGTTTAAACTCACAAGATTGATATCGGAGTGTGATCCTTCTGTTCTTGTACTATTATTTGTTTTATACTAATACGTACAGTCTAACCAATTCTTAAACTGACTTTTATAATAGAAATACGTAGCGTATAAAAATGTATATGTAACGTGTAAAACGTTAACCGTATTTTGAACTAAAACTATATATTTACAAAGTATATTATCTATGGATATATATAATGTAATGTAATCTGTTGTTTCAATTGAGCCAACCAATAGCCAAGGAGATGACCCAACCATCCAATTCTTCTCAATTCTATATACGTTCAATCCAACCAACCAACATCCAACATTCCAAGTCCAACCAAACGGGGTGATCGGGACGGGACGGGAACGGGTGAACGGCTGAACGGGAGTTGTTCGGCCATATTTGTTATTGTGCTCATTGGGAATTTATTTAGATTTGATTTCTGAATAGGAAGTGCTTCAGACTTTCAAGTTTGTAATGTATCTTTTTTCCTGGCAAATTTATTTCGAAAGTCTTTGTCTAGTTACATAAAACCTTCAGAGTATAGAAGAGTATGCTTATTTAGGAATCGTGGATAGTTGTAGCAATTCGCTGCAATAATCCAGCAAGTTTTATTTAGAAATAATTTTATTAAATCGAGAGAAAGTGGCGGGGGCATCAAATAGTAATGGAAAAGGGGGACGACAAGCTGCCCCAGTCGACGTGGGGTCCCCATTGCTCGACTGGGAAGAAGGTGATCATTTCAGCTTTGAAGATTCCGAACGTTTTGAAGAAGATTCGCTTTGTAGTTGGAGTTCAGAACCAGAAAGTCTTTGTAACAATTGGCGCGGGTGGAAGAGACCTAATCTGCAAAACTCTTTCGGCAACCGTTCCGCGAAAAAGATCGTTCAAGGTAACCTATTACAGCTGATCCTTTGTTTCGATGTGTTAAAATAAAATAGGATATTATCATTCCAATTTATTTCTGAATATGTTTAATATTAAAAGTATCGCTAAACACGATTCCTGCATGCAGCTAACGTTGATAGAATTGGTTTTTATTTTCATTGAAAGTTTTGATGTCATATTCTATGTGTTTGTTAGTGCATTGTGTATGCGATGCGATGGCATAAAGAACAGGTGCTGTAAAGTCATTTACCTTTGACTGGACTGAGCAGTTAATAATAAAGCTTTGGTTTCAAATCTCAGCCAATTACTTTACATTTTTCTTTGTTTATTACAATTTGATTGTTTCGTATTTTCGTCAATACGAATATATTTGATAAGTAAACAGAATACTTTCACCACTTTCACCGATTATTATTTTACAGGTTCGTGTTCTTTGATTCACATTTTTTTTACGATAATTTTTCGTAAAACATCCTTTATTATGAAGGGAAAAAGTGAATTTTTATTTACTAGCTACTGTTAAAAATAAAATAAAATATGAGATAGATACAATATACTACATTCATATCTAAAACAAGGACCTTTTTTCCAGAAAAAACTGTGTCAACGTTAAGTGAATTATCAGCAAAGTGTGTGGCTTGCCATATACCATTTGAACTTGTTGAACATGTATATCCACCAGTACCCGAACAGCTGCAGCTTCAAATTGCTTTCTGGAGCTTCCCTGATAGTGAAGATGATATCCGATTATATTCTTGTCTTGCTAATGGATCTGCTGATGAGTTTCAGAGAGGCGAACATCTTTTTAGAGACAGGGCTGTTAAAGATGTCCTTCAAATTGGTATGTGTTTATTCTGTGTTTACATAATTTGTTGACGAATATATTTGTCTTCCTGTTCATCTTAATATTTCATGGCTTATTTTATTAGAATTGTACCAATACCATATAAATCATGGATGTGAAAGTGTATAGTAAAAGTTTACCGTTACATAAGATTTGTATTTTGTGAGAAACTATAATTAAAGTTATATTCTAATGAAGGAATCAAATTATTAGATTTTTTTTACTTAAATTTTACTTAAATTTTTGAGTTTTAGGTTTAGCTACAATGTCATAAAACTGAATGTTACTAAAACAAAATACATTGCTTTTAGTTATAGGGCTAACCTCCTTTCACCACTACCTTCGACAATCACAACCTACACTTGTGGTCTTAAACTTCCTGGATGCCAGTGTCCCTTACTTGCAAGAACTGATTACAATGAAATATTTAGATATTTTTAATGATCAGACCTTAACATTTAAACCCCACTTTGTGGTTTTAGTTATCTGTTTGTGAAAGCTTATATATATTTGGAACCTTATAACATATAGCCGAGTTCCATGTTATAATTAAAATATGTTTCGCTTTGTAAATCTTTAATTGAATATTGTATAACATACATGGGGAAGACGTGCCAAAATACACCTCATCGAAGTTGAGAGAACGCAACATGCAATTCTCATAGGAGGTGCTGGTCTCTCTTTCCATTTTACTACAGTCAAGCTGTATAAAAAATGGGATGTATTAACAGTTAGATAAATTTCATCCTGACATGCAGATTTTCTCATCTATGAATGCCAGAAAGATAAAATATGCAAATCTCAAACTTTCAACTCGGCTCTTTCTCTTAAACATTTCCACTTCATGGGAACCTTCCTTTATAACAAACGAAATAAAATTTTAGACATATTTCCCAATAATAATTATAGTTGTAAAATAATATTGTCAAAATTCCTAAAATTCAACTACCAAGAAACAGAGAATCTTCTTTTAACCCAACACTTATAGGTACTTTTAATGTATACAAAAACACATTATTTCTATCTCAATATACTAATAATGATACTTCAGCATCAGGTTTACTTCTTACAATCTGTATTAAAACACTCAGATGAATATGCACTTGTAAACACTCAAATACACGTAAATCTACACATAAACACTCACTTATATCTATTGAATAGATTCTACAATTCACCTTATGTCTTTTCATAACTCTTATGATATATTTTATTTGTGTATATTATGATGATCTGATACCTTATATTACTGGGTTAATAAAACAAGAGTTTAAATATGTAACCTATCACTTAGGGGGGTTGTTGACCTGTAGCTCAGGTTTTTAATATAAACTTACAATAAGCTCCAGTCTCTCACAATGTTAGGTCCTTACTACATTGTTACTGTAAGCAAACCACTAAGTTGTGAAGAGATAAATAAATTGACTTTCATCAGAAAACGGCGGTGTAAGAATATCCATTACCCCGTATCATTTTGTAGGTTTTGTAAGAGGCGACAGAGGGAAACAAATCAGGAGATAGGCAGCAGCGTCTTCCTAATAACCTCTAAAAATAAAACAAATGTGGTTGGCAACCTGCTTGCCAAGCATGGCAACTATGTCAAATATCCCCCTATGAGGCAATATATGGGGCCATGTTTAGCGGTGGACTTTAATAGTAACCGTAATGGTATTATTGGGTTTATGACTTACTTTAACGTTTAAGTTAAGATAAATAAAAACTATATAAGTATATTATATGCCTGATAGACTTCTCAGAACTCAATCTAAATAATTTGCTTTTAACAAACTTACATAATTAAGTTTTGAATAATATGAATAGCTCATGGGGCTATATGCACACTATAAAAACGAATAACAATCTTTTAAAATGTTTGTCTGGTCTGTTTCTGGGCTGGCTGGTATTAGGAATGCTGATCACGGAGAGCAATGTCAAGAGTTATATAGGCTATGTTTTATCTAAAAACATGCAGGCTTTTTTTTTGTAAAATCGAAATACCGATAGATAAAAGGTTTATTAATGATTTTCTCATTATCTTTTAGAGTACCTAATTCGGAGACCCCTTTTGCTGGAAAATAGGTATTGAATCTTAGTCCTCATTGGTGGCAAAGCATATTATCTGCATTTTGATTCTTTCTTGAGGAGATGTCTTTGCGTCACATCATCCACTTACCATCAGGCGGACTGTGAGCTCGTTTGTCACCTTATTTTATAAAATAAACTAGATCTAATTAGCGACATCTGGTGCGCGTAAGATTATTAATATAAATAAAATGTTTCGAACAAAACTTGCAATGGTTTGCAATTTTACACAATAAAGGTCCTCACACTTAATCTTTTACTATTTTCGTTTTTATATAAGAATGGGCAAGTGAGCATGCAGCACACCTGATAGTAAGTGACTACCGTCACCCATGTTCAACTGCAACACCAGGGGAATTGCACATGCGTTGCCGGTCTTTTAAAAAAAAGTAGCCTCTTGGAGGTTTCTAAGTTGTATCTGTCTGGAAAAATCGCTGGTCTATTCCATAAGGAATTTAATTTGAAAAAAAAAAGAAAGTTAACTAAAGGAAAAAAGGAAGTTAACTAAAGAAGGAAGAAAACTTCTAGTAAATCACGCAGTGGTGAACCGCTTATCATCCAGAGGGTATGGATGGTACCGTGAGTTTTGCCGAAAAGTGCGATCATTATGTTGAGCGACTGCAACAGGTTTGAACAAATCTTCTAATCATTCCTCGTGGTAGATGCGATAGAATATGCAAAGAGATGCAACAACATCTCTTCGCAGCGCCAATTACTCACGCTGAACCTAAAGAACTAGGTCGCCGACAGTTGGAACCGCTCTGGGCTGCATGCGATCAAGTGGAAGGAGCTGGCACTAGGATGGCCCGGCCCAGAGATGAGAACAGATTCTATGTAACGCCTAACTTGCGCCTTGTAAAGTTGCAAGTGTTGTGTCGGTATAAAATACTGTCCAACTCTAAGCTCTAACTAACTCAAAGCATGCCAAGCTTTTTAAGCCAATTTGGCCTTTCTTTCCAAGTGACCGCGGAACTTAACGTCATTACGATCAGATTTAATCGACCCAATTCGAGACCCCGTTAAATCCCGAGAAATATTATCACTGCTGGTGTATAAGGCATCGCCAGTGTTGTCATCTGTATAATAATGAATGTTAATGACTTGTAACATATTGTTGATATGCAGTAGAAACAGCCTTGTAAAACACCAGCATTCATAGGCTTAAGAGTCGGAGCATGCATGCATTAATGCTTCAATCTGAGAGAAAACTGATGATTCAATTGCATTATTCTTATGGGCTTCCGAAGAAAACTTGACGTCTTACAGTTTTTATTGAGATTTCTCTTTACTGTTTTCTTTTTAATTTAAACTATAAGAGCATATCGACAATTTACAGTAACAGTACTTAGAACTAAGCGCACCAATAACTTTGTCGACACCGAATACCGATAACTTATAGTTTTCCTTGATGTCAAATTTTAAGTTTCTAAGGAATTAATTATAAGAAATTGCTTATGTTTTTGATGAGAGACTCAGCAAGCGACAAAATTGGCACTTTTCACGTATTATATAACTTAAGAACTACAATAGCCGTTTTGTAATTCTGTCAAAAATCTTGGCTTATAAAAACCATTCCTTAAGCTGGGGAGTTACGTTGCTGAATCAAGCGGTATAGATACTGCCACCTTACGTTCTCTTGGTCGTCTCAAAAACTTTCTGCCTATTCAAACTAAACTTCTACTAATCCGGATTTCGATATTACTCGTTATTGATTATGCGGACGTGTAACACACGATATGTCTTAATGTCTTCTCGATAAGTTGGAGCGGATAAGAGTACAATCTGCCACTTTGCCTGGCGAATGTGGACTATGAGAAAGCCTTTGATTCCGTAGAAATTTGGGCGGTGCTACTGTAGCGGTGCCAAGTTGACTGTCGGTATATTGAAGTGCTGAAGTGTTTGTACAGTAGGGCTACGATGGCTATCCGAGTACAGAACCAGAGTACGAAACCTATCCAACTGCAGTGAGGTGTAAGACAGGGTGACGTTATTTCCCCGAAACTCTTCACCGCTGCATTGGAAGACGTTTTCAAGCTACTGGACTGGAAAGGATACGGTAATTACATCAATGGCGAGTACATCACTCACCTTCGATTTGCCGACGATATAGTCCTTATGGCAGAATCGCTGGAGGACTTAAACACTATGCTCAATGACCTCAATAGTGCCTCCCAACGGATAGGTCTTAAGATGAACATGGACAAAACAAAGATCATGTTTAATGTCACACCTATGCCGGTAGTTGTTGGGAGCACTAAGCTCGAAGTTGTGGACGAGTACGTTTACCTGGAACAAATAGTCTCAACTAGGTAAGTCCAACTTCGACCGAGAGGTCAATCGACGGATTCAACTCTGCTGGGTAGCGTTCGGGAAATTACGACGCATCTTCTCGTCAGGTATACCTCAAAACCTGAAAACTAAGTTGTACAACCAGTGCGTGTTGCCAGTGATGACCTACGGAACTGAGACGTGATCCTTCACTGCTGGCCGTATGAGGACGCTCAAAGTCGCTCAGCGAGCTATGGAGAGGGCTATGCTCGGAGTTTCTCTGCGTGATAAACTTAGAAATGAGGTGAGGTGAGGTCCAGTGAAATGAATCCGTAGTAGAACCAGCTTGACCGACATAGCCCAACGGATTAGTAAGCTGAAGTGGCAATGGGCCGGCCATATAGCTCGAAGAACCGACAACAGTTGGTGAAGAAGGTTTTTCGAGTCGCAGCCTCGTACCGGTAGGCGAAGTGTTGGGCGACTCCCCACTAGATGGAGTGACGACCTGGTAAGACTTCTTCGCGGAGCCATAAGATGGATGCTTTGTAAGAAGCGCTTTGTGCCAAACTCGATCGAAGGCCCCAGCTATGTCTAAAGTAACCGCCAAGACCTCCCCTCTCAACTCGACCACCTGCGCTCATCGGTGT